TTTTAAGAACCAATTTAAAATCTCAATTGAATTTACGTGACATTTTGAAATTAACATCTTAACATCACATCTTAACCGTTTCGTTGACGGGTCCACGTGACACCAAACTGCCGATTTCAAAATTGAGGTTTCGATTCGATTTTCCGGGCGGTTTTTGCTTAGAGCTCTAGCCCTACTGTTTATACATGGAGTAGCATGAGAGTGACAAGCGCCAAAAGGGTTTTTCCCAAGCTAATACCTTTAACAATGGGGAACGATTTAATGTGGAGGAGAGGGAAAAAGGGCGACGTCTTCATCATCCTCCTGGCACCAATTTATCTTGTGTTGCAGACTTGCAAGTGATTTCTACAAGAATAAGTCAGCTTCTTCATCACCAAACTTGGAAGGTAGTATCAGATTTATTTGTGGAAAAAATGGGCATGATATTTTGAAATCACGTTCGATCTGATTGTTGTGAATGGTTTAATTTCAATTCAACTCAGAATTTATTATATTTTCTTTATCAATGTTGTTGTTTCTTGATGGTAATCTTCCTCTAGATACAGTAATTTTCTCGACAACATCTCTCCTGAACTTTGATGCTGTTGTTTATTGTTTTTCTCGCCTCTAGTACTGGCCGCCCCTCAAGTGTAATTGTGGAATACACAGGACCAAAATCCAATGGGGGCAGTTGTTCCAACTAGATCTCGATGCTCCGTTCCTGGATTATCGTTTTTTCATTTTTAATAGATTCATTTTGTTTAATTTGAAAATGAAAGTTTTTATTCTTTGTGATTTTGGTTTTTTGTTTATATTTAGATTTTAGGCTGGATTGAAGTGGAGTGAGATACATTCTATAAAGGAAGGTAATCTTCCTATAGTGCTGGCCGCTCCTCAAGTGTAATTGTGGAATACCCAGGACCAAAATCCAATGGGGGCAGTTGTTCCACCTACACCTCAATGCCCCATTCCTGGATTAATTCGTTTTTGCATTTTTAATATGTGCATTGTGTTTAATTTGAAAATGAAAGCCAATGGGGGCAGTTGTTCCAACTACACCTCAATGCTCTGTTCCTGGATTAATTCGTTTTTGCATTTTTACTATGTGCGTTTTGTTTAATTCGAAAATGAAAGTTTTTATTCTTTTTGATTTTTTACGTGTAGATTTTAGACTGGATTGAAGTGTGGTGAGATACATTCTATAAAGGAAGGTTTTAATCAAAGATCTGAGTTTTGGATTATATATTGTTTTGACTACGGTTATTGATGGCAACTCCGGGTGGACCTCGTCCAGGGAATATCCCACCAATTTATACCCCTAATTCTCTTGCTAATAAAATGCAAGAGTTGCAAATTAATCAACCTAATCTGCCACAGTCAAATAATCCTACTGTTGGTGCCTCTAGACCACCTATCACTACACCATTTGGTCAGCAGCCTCCAACTTTTGCTGGAACCCGACCAGGTCCACCTTTGCCCAGTGCCTTTATGAGGGGGCCTGTGCTCCCTAGCCCTAGTGGTCCCCCAAGTACATTGTCACGAAATGTGGCATCTGATAGGCCCATTGCCCCACCACCTGGATCTCAGCCTTCTCCTCGTTTCACTTCGAGACCGCTCCCTCCTGGGTCGCTGCCATCTTCTATGGGTGGTGCCACTCTTTCCCTTGCCAGTGGTTCTTCGCCGCAATTGGGACCTGGTCCTCATCAACAACTATTCGCGTCTTCTCCTTTGATGTCGGGTCCTGCTGCCCCACCACCATTAAGCACTTCTGGCCCACTTAGTAATGGACTCCCCAGGATCACACCTGCGCAACTCCAAGATGGCCCACGTTTCCCTCCTGTCATGGGTAGTACACCACGGCCACCTCCAATTGCAGCACCACAGCCAGCAAGAATGCTGTCATCTGGCTCATCTTCTCAGCATCCATTACTACGGCCGAACTTCGGTGGCCCATCTGCTAGCGCATCACTGGCCACGGCGCAACCAGGTCCACCATCTGCATCACCACAAAACATGACGCCTTCTCCGGCTCCATCACCATTTTCTGCACCAATTCAAAGTGTGCCTCCATCATCAGGCTCTCCTTATGGGATGCAGACGTGTATGTCTCAACAACAGCAGGTGATCTTTTCAAATTCTCAGTGAATTGAATCTCCTTTTCATGATTGTCCTATCTATGTTGAAGAATTCATTATTTGCTTATTGGTTGATTTCTTAATGATGAATTTCTCCTATGTTTGATTATCTCGGGATCAGGCAGGGATAGATGGTTTTACCTTTTTCTACAATTCCTGAAAGTTAAGACGCAATTATAAGTTATAAAGCGGAAATGATGGCTGCTATATTTATGTTGGGTACTTGGTATTACTCAACCGACAGCCTGGTAAAGTATTATTGGCCCACTTGATAATCTTGACACCAAGTATCATGCTAGTTCTCTTTACTGTGTGTTATGTTGTTTCAAACTCTATGCTAAATTTCTAATGACAACATCTGACGTGTAAGGACAGAACTAACCTATTTGCAACATATAGATAGTCATTAAGAAACTGAAAAATACTTGCCCCAGGTTAAGCTATTCTTCTAACTTATGAGAAAGTGAGCATGCAGAACAAGTTTTAATATTAAAGCGATCATATTTGTTAATGGACATAAAATCTGCTTCAATCCCTCAAAACCTCTAGAATTAATTTCCTCTGTTGCATTTAGAGCATGAAGCTCTTGCAATGAAAATAGATATTGTTATTTTCCTTTTATCTCTTTTTCTTTCCATGCGCCAGAGCACATGATGACATTCTGGTTGTTAAATAACCCAAATAGACGGCAACTTTTCACAGACTGCATTCCGGGAGAAAAAAAACATGATATCTATGATTGACTGCATAGGGTGATTAATTTTTTATTTCTGCTGGTGAGACCGTAGTATTTAATGCGATATGGTGGGAGTAGTCTGTGTATTTCTTCTGGGTCTTCTTTATGATACATGATATCTGGAAACTTGAACTAGTTCACATAACTATTACCTTCCATCTTGCCATTCTGAGGTTTTTTTTTTTTTTTAAATTGTTAATTGCTGATGAGAGTATTCCATCTAGTGAAGGACGCATATCTGAAATATTCACCTACAAGCTGCGATTAAAATCAAAAAATGCCAAGACCATAAGAAACTGCACAAGAACTCAGAAGAGTTGGTTCTGTTTCGTTTTTTTTTTGCATTAAAAAAAAATTGGTTTTCCATGTTTTTCTGTTTTATGATTCTAACTGTTTTGAAGAATTTTCTGCGAAAAGTTGTTTGGATGAGTATCCAGCAATTTATGGTTTTAGGCTTCATGATGCAGCAGAACAAGGCTTCAGTTATCAAATCTAGCCTCATGCGTATAGGAAAGTGAAACCTGAGGTATTTTGCATAATAGAATGAAAATACACATGGTTATTAATGACTAGTAAGATTAAAATTTATTATTTTCCCATAGGAGAAATATTCTAGATGTGCACCTGGCTGGGTGACTTGATTAGCATTGGTAAATCGGGGGAACTATTTTAACCTGTAAAAGTCCTAAATGTGAATTTATAATAGAGGATCACTGGGCTGCAACTAAACTGTGTCATGAAATTCCAAGGGGAGGATAACTGTAGAAAAAGGAAGCAGATAAACTTAAGAAATTGACCTATTAAACCTGGTGATAATGTTTAGAATATACATATTCTTTTCGTGTCATATCACGGGCTATAAATTTTTGGCTAAGAGAAAATTGTACAATTTTTGGATTTATATTTGACTAAATAAATCAAATTTTTGAAAAGAAGTCTCCATCTTGAGTCTTGATCCAAATGAATGGTTCCATCTTTGGCCAAATAAATATGTGCAGCCCCAAACCATGGCTGGTTCACAGTTAAACAAGCAAAAGTGGAATGCTTGCAAATGAAAATTTAGGTGTTTAGTCACGTCACTTTAATCTGCTCCAAGGGGATAAAGAATAGCAACGTACTTCCACTCCTCTTGAGTCTACATTCTAATTTCAGTATTTTTTATAGGTTGCTCCACCTCCCCCATTTCCTGGTCTGCAACCACCGAGAATGTATGGAATGCCACCACCACTTCCAAATCAATCCATGGCTCCTACATCTCCTGCTTTGGGTCATACTGGGGCTGTAGTGACAGCACAATCAATGGTTGATCTCAATCACATTCCTCGCCCTATCCCAAGTTCTATTGTGATTCTGCACATGACCCGTCAAGGCAATCAGGCAAACCCTCCTCCGGTAATTTGTCTCCTCATTCACCTAAAAAGTATAGCTTCACTTGTAATTTTGCTTGGTGGTGTATTGAGATGACACATTTTCTCACATTTTTTACTTTCATTGTGTGAATAGAAAGAACTAGCACAAATTGTTGAATTCCACAAAATGAGTCGTTAATCATGCCAAAGGTTCAATATAGTCTCAAATAGTTGTTCATTTTTCTGATTCTTTATTTTACTTTTTGTTTTTCTCTCATGTGAAGCCTGCAACAAGTGATTATATTGTCAAAGACACTGGGAATTGCAGTCCACGTTTTATGAGGTGCACTATTAATCAGGTAAAGTTTCTGCATTTTGTATTTAAATATTTCTTAATTCATCATTTTTTGGGTGGTGGACTGGGACTGCGATCTTTCATTAGCAATTAAGTTTTGACTGAGGCTTCTGTTTATGATATAGATTCCATGCACTGTGGACCTTTTATCAACATCTGCAATGCAGTTGGCTTTACTAGTCCAGCCTTTGGCTCTTCCTCATCCTTCTGAGGAACCAATCCAAGTAATGTTTCAAATTTCTTATTCTATACTGGTGGCAGTAATGAAAATATCTTTTTGCTAAATTTTACAATAAAAATTCACATGCACTCAGCAATTTAATAATGCCTTCTAGCTAAACATATTTGGATTACTCACGAGTTTGTTTCAGAAGGCTTATAAATATGGTCGTGATCTTGCATGTTTGCTCTCTTGTCATCTTGCGTCTGAAGTTGTTCTGACCTAAATAACATTCACTTGTACCATAATGAGATAGGGTTTAATAGAGAAATGTGCAACACCTCTCACCAATCTCTATGAGTGTTGATATTTAAATATTACCTGCTAATTGAAACATTGTTTTAGAATGAGAAAAGTGTGGAGTTTATCAAGATTGAAAACTTGGCAGTTTATAGATAGATGTCTAAGATATGTTAGGCATATAAGTAGATAAAGAAAGTTTCCAGACTGAGACTGGAAAGGAGGTAGCTCCTGATTGAAATTCGATGGTCAGTTTCCTTTTAGTTCTTGCTAATTGGATGGGTAGGCAAATTCCGATGATCTCATTTTTCTGTTGACTACTATTTTCTTGAGAGTCCCTGTCACTGCGATATTTTTTTCTGATCAGCTGAAAGTATGTGCAGCAAAATAATCAAATTTGGATATAGTTTGACACGATGCATTTTCTTTGTTAAGAGTCTTTTCGTTACTCCTCAATTTGAACTGAACCTGGATGAGTGAATGTATATTGCTTTATGAGGCTGTGTAGCCTGTGTGTGTGGGGATGCACCATCACTGCTGAGCCCTGCTTCCATCTCAAATCAGCTTGAAGTTTGACTAGCACGAAAGTCATATTTTAACTCCTGCAATTGGAATGGTACATAATTGTTGGACTCAAGTTGATCTGATATAATGGTTTCTTGTAGCTAGGTATTGATGGACTTCTTAGCTTTCTCCCGTGCACTTATTTTGTCTCTCTCTCCCATTTAAGATTTGAATGTTTGGCATGTTTATGTGACTCATGATTTAACATAAAAATGTGGCTGTTGCTATTTGTAAGCTTTCAGTAATTCTGAGTTTTTTATCCAATCTCAGCGGTGATTATTGGTTGGTTGGGCACTTTGACCTTTGTGTAGGAATAGGATGATGTCTATACGACTTATTCCTTATGCTTTGTAGGTTGTGGATTTTGGGGAAAGTGGGCCTGTTCGATGTTCTCGCTGTAAAGGTTACATAAATCCATTCATGAAGTTTATTGATCAAGGCAGGCGTTTCATTTGTAACTTGTGTGGTGAGTACCTTTTTGTTCAACACTAATGTAATACTCAAAGATGGATTATCATTTAGGCTGTGTAGGTATGTTTACAAGATTTTTTTAGTCCTGGCAATTTATTGGAGTTTAACCTTGATGTTGCCATGTTTATCCTTTGAATGATTGAAACACATTACACATGGAATATGGAAATTAATATGCATATTGCAGAGAGTCATTTACAAGAACAGGGCATTTGTTTTCTAAAGTTACTGAAATCCCCTAATGTTATATTCTGAGTTTGGGTACTTATCATATTTGTGCAGGATTTACAGATGAAACTCCACATGACTATCACTGCAACTTAGGTCCCGATGGCAGGCGTAGAGATGCTGATGAAAGGGCTGAGCTATGCAGGGGGACAGTTGAGTTTGTAGCTTCCAAAGAATATATGGTGAGTAACATCTAGGATGGGCATAGATTGCATTTGACGAGATTTTTATGGGGTTTAAGGTCACTGACACCTGAGTTAAAACCTCTTATTTCAGTCGTTGTTCCCTAGACTTGGGAAGCAACCCTTACATTATGAGGCTAGGTATTCTTCGTGTTGGGATGTTATAGATTGTTAGAGATTCCTTGCACTCATTTTACCTTCTATCTAATATAAAAGTTGTCAGTTGTGAACTTTACAAATTTTACCTCAACTAACCTTCAAATTTGCAATTCAGTTCACGAGGATGGTATGATCCATCGTCATTATGAAATCAGATCCTTCCGATAACAAATTGTACTTGAATGATAAGCAATTAGTCCTTTCTCTTTACGTTTATTATTTCATATAGGAAATAGAGACAGATAAATGATAAAAAATAAATTGACCACGTCAAGGAACTTCAACTATCTCTGAACTAATCATGTGATGATCATTGGGGTAAATTTCTGGAGTCATTGGCAAGTAAATAAGTTTGACTCAATTTTGTCCAGGTATCTAAACTCCGCTGGCAAATTCTGAAATAAGTCTGGAGTTTCTGGTGCTCAAGGACGCTTGCATTTATAGTATTCGTTGAGGTCTAGTCGCTAGGCAATCACTGTGTTGTCAGGGCATACATGCTACTAACTTCTTTTGAAAACTGTTCACTTATTCTATGTTCAACCTGGTTTACTTTCGATGTTTGCATTGCTAGAATCCTCAACTAATTGGCAGTCTTTGGACATTAGAATCTTATGGAAGACGAATTAAAAGGGCATATTTGCCATCACATAACACATCTCTTGTTTCGGCTGTTGATGGAGTGTACACTTCTTTTTTACTTTAGTCTGAGATTTAGTTGGGTTGAGATTAACCGAATATTCCTTTCATGAGTAAATATTATTGACCTTTGATCCGGCAGATAGTGATAACTTCTGAATTTGTAAATTATTTCCAGGTCCGAGATCCAATGCCTGCTGTATATTTCTTCCTTATTGATGTATCAATGAATGCCATACAAACAGGTGCAACTGCAGCAGCTTGCAGTGCAATTAACCAAGTTATAGCTGATCTTCCTGTGAGTTCAAACACGGTTTCCTCATCCATGTAACATTAATCTGCGTATTTCCATTTATCCATTAGGCTGATAATATGTGATTGATTTAATATGAATATTGTTTTCTTCCATGAAATACATTGCTCACAAATGTGGTTTCAGCTGTATATGGATCCCATGTGTCATTTTCGAACTCTGATATTAAAAATTAGAAAAAAAAAAAGTTAATCATAAAATTGATTATTATAAGGGAAAATGACGTGATGTGATTGTGCAAAATTTGGTTTCTTTTGGATTTTTGCATAGATGTAGTGCTCAACAGAATGGGTTGTTGAAAGGGACGACCCCGTATGGCTTTCTTGTTATTAATGTAGATTTAAAGGGCAACTGCTGAATCAGTATTCATATCTAGCTATAAAAATTCTTCCATGGATATGATTTGTGAGAAGCAGAATTCTCGAGTGAATATCTGATAATGTAGAATGAGGTGGAAAAAAAAGTTTATTTAGCTGACTGCCTGACCCAAGTTTACTGGGACTGGTGCTTAACTTCTTTTTATCCTAGATATTGAAGAGCAACAGTAGGATGAGTATTTGTATCTAACAGAATGACAAGAACAATTTTTTTAGGTAGTAATGTTGTTAAATTTCCAGAGAGAAGTCTATTTTATAATGTTATTCTTTCAACTTCTGCGATGCTTTATTGTCTATTCTTCATATAAATTGAGTCAACAAGTGTTGGTGTCCTTATGAATTTTTTAATGGATGTCTTTTGTTTGTAAGATCTCTGGGATCAACAAGAGCCATCAAGTACAAAATCATTCATGTGTGTTCGTATTATTGACTTAGGAGATTTGAGAAATTTCTTGCAAGTTGTAACTAGTTTTGCTTAGAGAAAAAGGACTTTAGGATTGATTGTTGGCATGCGTGATGAAAGTACTTATGTGCATTTTTTTCTCCCATTTTGGGATAAGTAAGAGCAGGATTATGTGTGCCCAAACCATTATGAAAAATATTAATTATGAAGATCCCATTTTTCAGTCCTGGCTCGAGTATTTCTTCTCTAGGTGATCTGTTGTGATGTTTGCCCTGTAACTGTGTCAAATATGTATTGTTTTTTCCTTTAAAATGTTCAAAACATTTATTTAAACAAACATTAAATTTGGTTTAAGCTTTCTTATGTTTATATTTATTGATGACATATTTTGTTTCTTTGCTTGAGGGGGGCAGAAATGCTACAAACAGATTATCTACTAGCTATTAACTGTCAAACCACTGCTATCAATGTAATCAACTTCATACATCAATACCAAATCAACCCGCCAAAGTGCAAGTCCCCTTCTGCCGTTCTCTTGATACACTTCATATATTCTTTGAAATAAGTAATTTTTCATATCTCTAATCTGATCTTCGTAGAAACCATCTCAAAACTGATTTCCTCCCCTCGCCTTTCAGCTTTGAAAAATTAAATCTATGTTTGTTGTCAGGATTTGCTTTTAAATTGGAAAGAATTCCATCCCTTCCAATTAAGAATGGGGAGTGAGAAATAAGTGGAAAAAGAAAATAGTGTGCTATCAATGTAGATTTTGATAGTTGCTTTATACCTGCGTTCTTTGGACTGTCATTGTATAGCACATTATATATATATTCTGTGACAGTTTATGTCTTTGTGAATAAAGAGAATGCTTTACATTTGTTTGATATGTGATGATTTATCATTGCAGGACGGTCCTCGAACAGCGGTGGGCATTGCTACATTTGATTCAAATATCCATTTTTACAATCTAAAACGTGCATTGCAGCAGGTTGGTAGACAGTTGTTAGATTTTCAGTTATAAATCAAGCAGGGATGCCTGCTTACATAGGTGACCGTGATTTACAATTATTTTAACCTTTTTCCATAATGTGTCATGTTCACCATTTATTTTCTTTATTCTTAATATGAAAAGCCCTTGTTGTATTCTCATCTTATACCTTAAACAAAATAATGGCTAGCTTCAACACTCCATTGAAAGTCAAAACGGTATTAGATACTTACTTTAGTCTCCTGCTTTTGTTTCATTGCAGCCTTTGATGCTTATAGTCCCTGACATACAAGATGTCTACACTCCTCTCGAAAGTGATGTTATTGTTCAACTTTCTGAGGTTAATTATTGTTTTCTTTTCGAAGTAATGTTGATTTTCCAACTGTGTAAATATTTCACTTTCAGCTCTGTTAATTGCCATTCTCCTATCTTCCTTTCCTCTTTTAATATATTGTTTTATTAATGCTTTCATTCATTGTTTTAAGTTTCTAGAGTGATTGCAATTTGTTAATGCAGTGCCATCAACATGTAGAGATATTGCTGGAAAGCATCCCAACGATGTTTCAGAATAATAGAATAGCTGATTCAGCTTTTGGGGCTGCGATAAAGGTTTGAGGTTTTTATACACCTACATACATATATAGTAAAGAATCAAATGTTGTATTTAAGTGGTGTATGCTACTCTTCTTGGTTGTAGACGAATATGTTTCAATTAATTGAATTTGACTGTGTTATATAAGTGATGTATGCTAGTCTTCTTGATTACTTCAGGCTGCTTTCTTGGCGATGAAAAGTACTGGCGGCAAACTTCTCGTTTTCCAATCTGGTGAGCTAATGATTATGTTTATATATTAGCGTGAGCAGATGCATACACGATTATACAGTTTTCAGCCTTAAACCATCTCATTTTGAACTTATTCATTTCTTTTACATCACAAAATGTTTTGTTCTTCATTGTAGTCTATCCATATAATGATTTATAAAATCGTAATGCATGATTTTACACAAAAAAAATACAACCAGATTTCCTGCTGAGAGTTCGGCTTGCATCCAAGTTTTTCTTTTGTTACACTACGTGTTGTCATTTATGTCAAGACAGGAGAGAATTATTTATCTTATTATCTAGACTTGTACTTCAAGATTTGTACTGTTTACCAGTCACTGAACTTTGAATAGATGTTCATTTAAGGATTTTGACTGCATTCCAATTTATCACTTTACATGCTGTTGGAATAAATTTTCAATTATGCTTAGTTCACTTCAGCCTATATGCTTACTGTATATTTGCTATTGCGTAATTCTCTTTTTGATGAAGTTGTTTAGATGCTTCTACATTTTTTGAGTATAATGATTTGTAACTATAGAATAATATACTGAATACTTTTTGGTGTTGCAGTCTTGCCTTCAATTGGCACTGGATCCCTTTCTGCTCGGGAAGCTGATGGATGGAGAAACATATCAGCAGGAGAAAAGGTTTGAAAATGTTAATTGGAATATAGTCATTGGCATTGCATTTTGTCTCTTTTGGAGTTTCTAGTGCTTTGTATTGTTCTTACAAGGATTGAACTGAGAACTACATTTTTAAGGGATAGTCTTACTAATGTCTTCCTTTCCTCCCCCCCTAATACCACGAAACATTCCTTTTCAATTATTGAGGCCTGAGGGTAATATCTTGGTCTAAATTTGTGCTGCTGTTCTTTAGTTATTTGTCCCCCTATCTTTTGCTTAGAAAAGAATGGAGTAGCCAGTAGTAGTGGAACTCATTTGGTTCACCTGCATCTGTGATCTCTAGTATTATAGATTGGGATTTTTTACTTAAATTTGTTTCCGTACTTCATCCAGTCGAATGGTTTACTAATACGCAAATATGAACAACCTGTATGTTGCAGGAAACCATTCAACTTGATCTCTACCAATAGCTTATATTGTTAATAGTTGCAACTGATTATATTTCCCCCTATATTTTATAAATATTGTACATTAGTTTTATAGTGTGTTCCGGTGCAAGTTAAAAATTAGTTGTTATAAACAAGGATGTTATCATATACTTCCTTTTCCAGATGAATTAAATAATGTTCTTCATTTGATTTCAGGAGGCTAACAAATTACTCCAACCGGCAGACAAAACTCTAAAAACAATGGCCGTAGAATTTGCTGAATACCAGGTGAAGTTTACAACAAATTCTCCAAATGAGATGTTTGCGAAATCGTGATGTTGATATTGTTTTTCAGATTTATAATTATTCTGTCGTGTCTCCTTGTAGTTTATTATTTCCAAAAATTTCAGATCTGTGTTGACTTATTCATTACAACTCAAACATACGTAGACATTGCTTCCATCTCTGTCATTCCGATAACGACAGGTGGCCAGGTAATTGTAACCTAGTTAGCATCTTATCTTCTCTGTCTGTATGGAATCATGAAGGGCCAGTCCAATATGATGGTCACAATATCTATTTTCTCAATAAAAGGATTTGAATATGAATTTTTTATGTTTTTCTTCGTATCATTTGTTAAGTTGCTTACACGTGTCTGACTTGCATTATCATGTAGGATATATATTCACATTTCATATGCCGATTTCATCATGTTTTGATTTTTTAAATTTTAAATCTATCCAGGTTTACTATTATTATCCTTTCACCGCTCTTTCTGACCCTGCTAAGCTTTACAATGATCTTCGGTGGAATGTTACAAGGCCCCAAGGCTTTGAGGCAGTAATGCGTGTAAGATGCAGCCAGGTGAGTTTCTCAGTGTTTGGATTTCTATCATGTTGTTTATGTTGATAATAGCTCTATTTATATGGATAACAGTTAAAGCTTGACAGCAAGAGGTAAGAAATGAAATTGTTTGAATTTATATTTCCTTTGGGCAGGGTATTCAAGTTCAAGATTACTCTGGAAACTTCTGCAAGCGCATTCCAACAGATGTTGATCTACCTGCTGTTAGTCTCTCCCTCTCTCTCTACATTTATTGCTAGATACTGATATGGTCTTAATTAATGACTCGACTTATTAGAAATTTAGAACATAGAACTTGGTTGTGCACAAAATGTACCTGTGGAATATGATCATACAACTTAACCTTGATTAATTAATTAGTGTTTGCCAGTAGCGATTGGAGTGATAGTTGATGTGTGTCAATATCTGCAAGATGGAATTTCTTGGTGGCCAATGTGGAACTGACTGACTGAGATTTGCACTTTCTGTTGTTTGTATTTGCATTCTCTTAATCAGTCTTCGTGCATTTTTAGCATAGCTTAATTTTTTTATGCTTGTCAATTTTTTACCCACAAACGACTACTTACTACGCGCTTATTAACCACACATTCCATATGACTCACAACTTATAAGCTCTTGAAGCTTTGTGAAACATGCTCTAGTAGTTTTACCTCCTATCAATTCTAGAACTCATTTTCTCCAAATTCTCTTGCTAATTGACATATATAGAGTCAGTTTCCTTGCATCTCTTCACCACTTCTCTTCAGATCCAAATGAATTCCAGACTTTGTACACATCTTATTGTTGCATCCTATGACAAGGATGCATTGACAACATGGCACGGACACTTTGACACGTGACTTTTGAAAAAGGACCCTGACCCGTAAAATTCCTTAAAGATACACATTTATATATTATATTTACTTGTCAATATAAATACTTCTTTAGTTTTGATGTTGAATTGTGCAAGGGAAATCTTTAGTATTAGAGGAGTGACTATCTATTGTATTAACAAAACTATGTGCTGTACAATTTATTACTAGTGACAACATAAGCCTGTAATTTTGTAAAATTTACAAAATGGGACATTTCTTGCCTTTGACGTGTCAAGGACATGTCCTTTCTGTGTTAGAAACTGAAAAATTATGAAAACATCGGACAAGCCACATGGTGTATTGGACTCATGCCTGACACGTCTGGGAAGTGTCCTACGTTTGTCAGAAATTTTAACAAATAATAAAGAATAGGACACATCACGTGGCTTGTCAGATATTTGTCCCAGAGTGTCCTAGTATCAGTGTCCAATATGTTTTGGACATTGGCACTCCACCTTAGGATGAGTGTGAGTGCTGTAGAGATTGTAACCTTATGAATGTTTCAGCCTTTATAGCCATTGTTGAAGCCCTAGTGGCTAGAAATTGATAAATGGAATTAGAAGGCTGCATGCTCAAATTTTATACAAATACATATCTGAATTTTGCACAAACTACAACAAAAAAGTTTGACTCGTGGGTTGATATTTATGTAGAAAAACAATGGCAATTTTTTGTGATTACCATCAAAAAGTTGTCAGGCATTGGGTTTCTGTAGTCCTAAGAAATCCACTTTCATGTGTTGACGTGGAACCACTGATTTTGTAAGTGATAAGGAAAATGCATGAAAAGTATATAGTTAAATTTGCAATAAAGAATCTCTCTGTTTCTTGTCTATTCATAATGAGTTTTGGGACACAAATGTAGAATTTTGATCATGTGCTGATGACCATTCACTTCCTTTAGTTTGAGTGGTCACTTAGAGTAAGGAAATTAATGATACTTATGAGTTCTGAATGTTCTATAGTTGCCATTGATCTAAACCATGTTTGATGTGGATCCATATTTGCCGCCTAGTGTCTCTAAATGCATGTTTTTAGAGTTCCTTCTTGCTATTGCTTATTTGTTTCCCTGAGGTCATTTTCCTTTTTAACAAAGCTTCACTTGTGCAGATTGACTGTGACAAAACAATAATGGTAACACTAAAACACGATGATAAATTGCAGGATGGCTCAGAATGTGCTTTCCAGGTATATTTTCCATTATCTGAATCCCGTGTTGTACTTGAGATTTTCATGTATTTCTTGATTCATGGAAAATGTTTCTTTCTTGGTTTTCGCTTTGTTTTCATTTTGTATAGAGATACCATCACCGAATCACTTTCTGTGTTCGTGTTTTCTAGTGTGCTCTTCTTTACACCAATGTATATGGCCAAAGAAGAATTCGGGTCTCAACCTTGTCTCTGCCTTGTACCACCTTGCTGAGTAATTTGTTTCGGTTTGCTGACTTAGATACCCAATTTGCTTGTATCTTGAAGCAAGGTAATTTCCATCTATATTTTTTGGGGCACTTGCTTCAATAAATTTATCTATTACTTTTCGATGCTTCTTGAATATAACAAAATTCTCTCTTTATTATTATGTTTGGCTAAGCTTATAAGCTTAGACAAGCATATGTGCATGCACTTGTAAAGAAATGATTTTGACATTATCATGTTATACATTTTACTTGCAAATAATCCCTCGTGTACACTGTTTGACCTTTACTTGGTTTTTCTGCATTCCATTTCTAGCAGTAATTTTTACCTCAATCTTCATAGCATTCTAACTCCGCTGCGCTGATTTTTTCTCATGTGACAGTGACTAGTGAAGTTCCTTCAACTCCACTCCCACAAGTCACGGAGAAACCAAAAAACCTTTGTATAAACATTCTGCATTCATATCGCAAGTTCTGCGCATCAGCTTCTGCTTCTGGACAGCTTATTCTTCCTGAGGCACTTAAATTGTTACCTCTGTACACGCTTGGTATGTCTCATGTTGCTTCAAAATTTGTATGCATTGACCGGATACCATTGTTGTTATCTCTTTGGACTCTTGACCTTAGCTGGAGTATCTCCTATCAAGTAACTAATCATGTTGGTTCATGCAGTTCCAACTTCCAATTGTGGTCCTCTATAGACTGGATTTTGCTTGTGTTAATGCAATTCTAGGAATAACCCAAATTCTCTTAATTGAGGAACATGTTTCTATAATTATTATCTTGTTTATAATGTGTGAAATTTTGCTTCATTAATGGCACCTTGTGTAATCTAATTATGACAAAAAAAAAAAACAAAGGGGCCACTTTGCCCATTAATTATGGATGAGACTACCTGTAGATCAGTCAATTGAATCCTAGGTTGTGTTATCGAAGCTGCTTATATCTAGAAAAGTACTTTGGTTTCCTAAATTTCTATATATTATATAATCTAAAGTCATACCAAGTGTATGTTCGTCAAAAATTATAATTGATTATTAGCGGTTCCAAGTAATATGTGGTTAAAAAGTAGGTAAAAGTTATGGATCCTACCAAATGTGTGGATTAAGCCCTTGTTTGATGGCCATTATTTGGCAAAAAATGTAGTTTGAATAGTCAATTTTTGGAGAAAGTGGTTAAAAAGTAGGAAAAGTTTTGGTTTATGTACAGAAAATTTAATTGTGTGAATATGAGGTTGAAAATAAGTGTGTAGAATAAAGAGTTTTGAAATAATGGTATACTCCCCTTTTGGGATTCTGCTTCATTTATTTATTTTTTATTTATCCCCCTCTCTTTAACTTTGCAGGTTTACTCAAAAGCTGTGGATTGCAAGCTAATGGAAGAATTGATGATAGGTCCTTTTGGATTAATTATGTTTCCCATTTATCTACTCATTCGGCAATCCCATTGGTATACCCTAGGATGATAGCCATTCACAACCTTGATGAGAAGGTATGAATTGTTCATGATGGCGTTATAGGTGTTCTTGACATATCCCTCATCTTTTATCTTAATGCTGAATTGTCAGGAGATGGATGATTCCCTCATTCCCGAGACAGTTCCACTTTCCAGTGAGCACATCACTGATGAGGGAATTTATCTTCTTGAGAATGGTGAAGATTGTTTAATTTATGTTGGTAACTCTGTCAATCCGGATATATTGCGCAAGTTGTTAGGCATTTCATCGGTTGAAGAAATCTCTCGTCAGGTATTCTGAGACATCATGGTTGAACATTTTTATTATTTTCAACGTACTTGATATCTTTAAACTACTTTGTTGTTGATGTCATTTGGAAATAACATGCATACATGTTCTTTTCCCTGGAGAATTTTTCTACCTAAAGAGTTTTTTAGGAACTTGGATGATTTTTCTACCTAAAGAGTTTTTTAGGAACTTGGATGTTCTACTTTATTGGTACTCTATTCTGTCAAAATGCCTCAGTTCCCAATTTTTGCCTTTTCAGTTTGTACTGCAGCAATATGATAATCCATTGTCAAAGAAGCTGAACAATATTGTCAATGAGATGAGGCGTCAGAGAAGTTCCTACCTACGGTATTAACAATATTGTTTTGGGAAAATAACTGTGACTGCTTCACTGAATACAGTTATTGTTTTTCTACATGCTCAATATTTTCAGCAAGTAATGTTTTTTTCTCTCTCTCTGGTACTGCAGCTTAAAATTGTGCAGAAAAGGAGATCCATCAGGTTAGTGAATGGAAAACCTATTTAAACTATCCAAGCCGGGGAAAATGAAAAGAAAAGCAGCATGGAGCTGACCTGATGCTGGACAATTTTTTGGATTTTTATATTATTTTTTAGTTTGCCTGTGGTCTTCTATAATCCGGAACTTTTGGTGTTTCAGGTACAACGTTTTTCTCCTACATGGTAGAGGACAAGACTCCAGGCGGGCTTTCATATGTCGAGTTTCTAATACATATCCATCAACATATTCAAAGAAAAATGCCTTGAAAAAATTATGCACTCAGATCAATTTTGTTTACAATTCTGATTACCTTAGAGGATTGCTACACAGGATTTCAAGATCGGAGGTTGCAGATTTTTACCATCGTATTTTGGTGGATAGCAAAGCGGATAATAACTTTGTTATAGGCGTTTTGATTGTTAAATGGTTTTCCATACTTGATTAGAGCGTGATTGCGATTAAATAAGTCATGCTTTTATTTATATGTTCATATTGGTGTTTTTGATCTCTTATCCATTTTCATTTTACCCTCCAAGTAAAATTGAATTGTATAGTAATTTTACTTTTGGATCATCAGCAAAATAATTTCTTTTGTTGCAATTCAGGGATTGCTTGCTGTATCATTTAGATGTATAAAATAGTTACTCATTTACTGCATGTCCGTGCCGTGCCGACAGGGATGGACGAGCACGATTTTAGCTTCTTTTTTCCCCTCTTAATATTATCCATTAGTATCCATCTTTTTGAGAGATGAATCCTTGCCGCCCGTCTCTGGCAAAAAAAGGAGGTTACTTTTAAATTCATTTTTACCTTTTTTAAGGCTTAGCCAAACATGCTCTTAATCTAACATTCAGTGACTAGTGATTTAAAACAAGAACATTAGCATTTTGATTGTTGACTCTTTACAACCATGGACAACAATGAAATAAATATTGTTTATTTTATTTAAAAATTCAATTCGACACATTTATTTGAAATATTTTTTATAAAAAGCAATGAAAGACGATATTTTATTTCAGCGAATCAGTTGGATACCATGCTCTCCGTCTCCTTCACAAAACCGTCTCCTGTCCAGTCTTTATCGGACTGCAAACCTTTCTTCACAGCCTTCCTTTCACGAATAGCTTCTTGCTGTCTTCTTACTAAATCCGTATGAGTGGTGAAGTAATCCAGCGAAGCCCTGGTAGATGTATAAATAAATAAAATGCAAAAAATTAGACTACAAAACTGCAGTTCCTGTTATTTTCTCCGGTTGCAAGTAATTTTTTTATAAAATTCATACCCTCTAAAATCTTCTATTGAAGAAAAATTGTGCTTCTTCATAAAATCCTTCAGCTCGGTGCAGAGTTTCTTTACAAGAGGATATCCATGCATCATAACACCCGTGCAGACCTAGAATTATCGTTCAGGTCACGTATTAATTTCTTTAATAACAGAGAAGATAATAGAAACAGACTAATGACAGAAACTGCAGTGTGCAGAATGGAGATTTTTCATATAAGTTCTTTTTCATAGATTTGGTAAAACATCTTTATCTATTAATGCATAATGCAACTAGAACACATGGCCACGACAACTGAAAACATTTTTTTGGTGATGTGTGTGATAGTGAAAGCAATAGAATATGCAGCTTCAGAACTTATGGACTACAGGTTCACAACGTTAAAAACCAAGTGAAAACTAATCATAGTGCTGTCCAACCTGAACTGTACTTGCCCCAAGAAGTATAAACTCAGCAGCATCACCACCTGTCTCTACGCCTCCAATGCCAGAAAGTGAACAGTCTGTATATCCAAATTCCTTTTTCATCATCTGTGCAATGCTCATCACTTTTGCAAGTGCAATAGGGTGGACTGCTTTTGAAGAATAGCCACCAGGAGTCGAGTATCTGGGATGATGTTAAAAAAATGAAGCGTAAGAAGATCTGAATAGATCCACTCAAAAATCTTACATGTTTTAGTAAAGAAGTTACCCCTCTACGCAAGGCTCTGGTCTTAAGGTATCAAGATCAATTCCCATAACACTCATGATCGTATTGATTGCAGAAACCCCTTCGCATCCAGTACTAAGAGCCACTCTAGCTGGCTATTATAAAACAGCAATAAGTTGAATCATCAGCAGAAAGCTAATAGAAAGTTGTGCTCTTCAACTATAGTGAACCAACTTAACTAAAGGTCAAACTGTTAGATTAGGTTATTCAACTGGGTATCAAAAGGTGTAGGGTTCCTGGATTCAAGTCTCACTACCACCCATTTATGAAATTGTGTGTCAGGCTTTTTGCTGAAAATATGTAAGCAGCCTGCACGTGAAGGGGTGTTAAAGATTAAAATTTTGAATAAATACACGCATTCCCTTTCTAACAGTTTAAACTTTGAAATGAGATGGTTCAATAAACAGCAGCTAGTGCTAAGTATCGGCTCATCCACTACGTATCTCAGGCATCCTGATTAAAGAATCAGAATACAGGTACAATAAATGAGATGAAAGATTGAACATGGGTTGAAAATAGTTGTCCAATATTATCCTCAAACGTGCTGCAGAAATTGGTAGACAGCATGAAGCAGATGGACCTAATAACAGACACACACACACACACACACACCAATAAGAACTGTGACTTTGGAGCAACACGTGAAGAAATTTGTTGCAATCAACATGTGGTCATTTTTCTTATTTCTCAGAGCACACGTTAGATAGGATGCCCCACCGTTCAAAATTCAAAAGATGTGGCCAAAAACTGTGGCAATGTAATTTTTTCCCTGCTTACACTCATGCGGATACATATTTGTAAATCAAAATTTAGCACATACAACCTGTGCACTTCTACACGTCTTTTTAAAAAGGTAAGTTACGCAAACACAATATGTGCGTAATAATGTATAAATATGTCTAGCCTATTATAACATAGAATCTGGCTACCCCGCTCACTTGCATATTATTACATAGAATCTGCAGAATGAATCATATACAATTGCCTTTCCCTACAACATCTTACGAAGTTGGATGGATTTTCTCATATATTGACCAGAACAAACATAAGAAAAAGCAAACCTGTGTAATGTCAGTGATGTTTGGAGTCATCTTTGCCCAAACTGGAACTGTGGCTTTTTCATTAATCCAGCCGCATACTTCCTCCAACAGTGCACAATCTTGGCCAACTGCAGCACCCATTTTACGCTCTGGCATACCATGAGGGCATGAAAAGTTGATTTCAAAAGCATCCTACATCAAAAAAATAATGATTGAGGCATTCAATACACCTTAAAGAGTATAATTGTAATAAAACTTGGATAGTGGGAAATGTTTTGCAACTCGAGGAATAAGACTACAGTATTGATTGCTTACAATTCCAGTTTCCTCAACTCGTTCAATGAGTTCCTGCCATGCAGCTTTATCATACTCTTCCATTATTGAAGCAATAAGGATCCTGTCAGGATACTCTTCTTTCAACTGTTTGAATTCCTTCAACATAGTCTCTAAAGGCCGATCACTTATGAGTTCAATATTCTCCCACCCAATAATTTGTCCTTTCAATGAGCCGTTTACTCCTACTCGTAATTTAGCATACCGAGGAGTAACATTTACAACTTTTGCAGCATCCAGAGATACCTATATGTAATGGTACAGGATCAAAAGTCTTACATTTATAAATAATGAACAAGGAGATGAAGCATATTTTTTATTCCATACCAACTACATCAACAATAAAATTCTGAAGAAACCAACGTTTCAACATAGTTTTACTGGTGGCTAGCAAATCTAAACATTTCAACAATTGGAAACATGTTTGGTTATTTCCAACTTTCACCAAAAAGAGTTATTTATTTAAAACTTACTTATATAATCATATGTAAACTTTTTAAACGTGCAATTAAATGAATTACCGTTTTGGCGATGACAGCACCCCAACCTTCATCAAAGGCCCGCTTCATGACGGTGTAATTGGTTCCGGGAGGACCCGATCCGATAACAAAGGGGTTGGGCATTTTCAACCCGTTGACACTGACACTAAGATCAGGTTCCTCAACAGCATGATTTTCCGAAGCCAAAATCCTAAATCCGACTCTGTTTTTACGACTCGGCCGCCATCTAGGCCTCGTCCCAGTCACGGGAAACACGGCCACCGAATTACTACCGGCTCCCATCCTGATCTGATTAGCAAATCCTAAAGAAGCCATTTTGTTTCAAGAATTATTGAAAAAATTACGAGTCTGCAGATAAGGATGAAAATGAATATCTGAGAATCTTGAGTTATTAATAGAAAATTATTGGGATAGGATTATAATATAGAAAGAAAAAGCAAAGCATCTTCCAGCGGCGTGTCAAAATATTATTGTGTTTGATTGTATTCTGATTTCTGAATTATCAAAGTCAAAATATGGGACTATTTATGAGACTTTCTTCTTCAGATTTTTGTTCTGAATATTTGGTAAGTTCACTCTAGTAAACATGTTAATATGTTTTTATTTAAAAGTAATTAATTGAATTTATTTTTAAAAAGGGTTAATAATTAATTATTAAGATAGAGATTCTGATTATATTATTTGAAAGAGTAATGCTATTCATCCCCATTGGGGATGAAAACACAGTCTATGTGGTGCTAATGTGGCATTAAATGATAGGTGAAATTAAATAAGTCATTTAGTTTCATATTTCATTTAGTCTATCATTTAATGACATATAGACTGTGTTTTCATCCCCACTGGGAATGAATAACATTACTCTATTTGAATGATTTCATTAAAATGTTTTTATTTAACGGTTAAGAGAACTGATCTCCCGTCGCATAAGGGCCACATGATGATATGGCAATACCACATGTTGTTACATCATCGGTAGATAACATATGTCTTGTACGTAACAGTTGTTAAATGTGTATGTCTTGTTATTGTATCAAAATAGAGTTTATACGTATGTAACCTATCTTTTTACTTTAATAAATAAAGAATAGTGATATTCGTAGCTGCTCACTATCATAGTCGTTCTACGTAACACACTTGTGACAGTTAATGATTTTGTGAATTAATGTGGTAGTTTTTTATTGTCTCATGCATCAAATCATTAACCGCTATATGTATGTTACGTAGGACGATTATGGTAGTGAACGACTGCAAATAACATTATTCATAAATTAATTTATTTTCAAGTGCTTAATTGTCATTTTGCTATTGGCTAATCTTGATAACGTAATAAAAAAATTACACTCAAATATTTGCAATATCATCCCTAAACAAAAACAAACGGGATAAAGTAATGTACTTGAACAGAGAAATAATATCTATAAGAAACAAAACAAGTCTATTTTATCTTTTCATACTTTAGTTGTAAATTTTTTCAAATATCTTTTGGAAGTCTGGATATTCTCCACGCCCTTAACAGTGAGAATCTCAAAAAAGAAAATGATCTGAAATCATGTTTTTAAATTTAATTTAATAAATCAAGTATTAACATTTTTTATTTTAAAAGACATGAACGGAATTAACATATTACATATAGATTAGGACAAATATTATGTTAAGTCATTGTTTAGTGGGGATTAAAATCAATTTTTTACTAGATTTTGATAAAAAAAAATGATGAAATGTATTGTTAAAAAATTGTGGACCTCATAAAATACGTGATTAAAATTAATCATTAACTTTAAATTATATGAAAAATCATATTTTAATTTATGCCAAATTGAGGCTAAGTCAAAATCACACAATTTTGTAGGTCAATAGACATGGTCACTATAGTGTTTTTTTTTTTTTTTAAATAATAAATTTGTTAATTTTGAACGTGTATTCTTAACTAATTATAGTTATGAAAATTTTGATCCAAAAATAATGTGGCCCAGTAAAAGCCCAAATTCCAATTAGCTTATGTCACCCTAGTTGGTTTTGGGTCAGCGTATGATATAAAGGGAAGAAAATGGATAATTACATAGTTGGGCCATGTTATGGGCCTTGGAATGAAAATTAAGAAAGGGAAAATTACATAATTCAGGTGTTTGAAGATTGGAATTCAAAAATTAGGTAATATATTAAAACTCTAACCCTAATTTATCATTCTCAACTCCCTCACCTCTCTCTCTCTCTCGCGCCTCCTCTCCCCTCCCCTTCTCTCTCTCTGTAAATCTCCCATCTATCCACTGTCGAACAACGCCAATCGTCGACCACCGTCCACCGTCGAAGACCACCACCCACATCAACAATCTACCGTCGAACTCACGGCGACAATCGAGGTAGAAGATCAGCAGCTCAATCTGAAATTTTCTCCTTCAAGACCACCACTTGAAGCACCTGTTGGGGTAGTTGATCTTTGCTGCTGTGACTATGTTGTGCGATACTTTCACAGTTTCGTCGCAACGGGTGCTATGGGTGTGTGTGCTTTGGGGTTTTTTGTTGGGTGGTGGTTGTGGTGTGACGTGATTTTTTTTTTTTTGTTGGGTGGTGCTGTGGTGGCGACGACGTGGTGCAGATGTGGTGTGTGGTGGGTTCGAATATAGTTGATGGTGGTGGTGATAATGTGTGGTTGGATGCGGTAGTGGTGGGTTTGTTGGTGGTCGTGGTCGTGATGGCGGTGGTGGGGTGAGGGTGGTCAAAAGTGGTAGTGCCTATAGCGTGACCAAATATTTGATTATCTGTGACAAAGTATTTAACTGTAACCTAAAAATTTGACAATAAGTAACTGAAAAATAATTTGTGACCAATTAAATTAATTGTGACCTACAATTTTTTGAATTTGTGACCTTGAAATCATCAATGACTAAATAATTAGTAACCTAAAAATTTGACAATATGTAACTGAAAAATAATTTGTGACCAATTAAATTAATTGTGACCTACAATTTTTTGAATTTGTGACCTTGAAATCATCAATGACTAATTAATTTGATAATATGTGACCTATAATTATGTATATATGACCATTAATTGTATAATTGTGATCTAATTAGTAAATATTTTTAATTAATTACCTAATACCCGAGTTTTGAATTATTAAACTATCTACCTCATTTTTGAATTGGTGTAAACCATACACCTGAAATATGAATTTGTCCCAATGAGAAAATTACATACACATATTTTTTAACCTTTCATTTTAATAATCAAGAATAAAATATTTTCTTTCAAAAATTGGATGCACCCCACCTCACCCTACAAAAAATAAAATAAAATAAAATTCAGGTTACGATTCATATAATAAAAATCAAGATAAAAACCATTCATGTAATACTAAAAAAAAAAAAAATAAACTCGCAGACATTATAATATCATCAATGTCAACTCGAAGTATTCTCATTTGATTATCAGAGGTACATTTCCTGACAGCTTCCATAATCACCCAAGAAGTATTCCACCTTGAAGAGTATTTGTGGTCATTATTTGGATAATTGTGACGGGTAAAATGAGAAATTCATGACCAATAAATATGAAACCTGAAAAAAAAAATGATTTGTGACTAAATTTATAATTGTGACTCACAATTTGTGTGTTTGTAATTGTAACTTTGTTCGATTTGTGTGTAATTGGGATCACGACCTAATTAATTAAATTATAAGTCACAAATGTGACCACCTGCTTTTTTAAAACAATTCACAAGTTTGTTATTTTTGAAAGCATATCTTGAAAACATATTAGTAAATTTTGCATGATGATATTAAAGATTAAACAATAAATAAAAGTGTTCTCCCATTCACAATTTAAGTTTTTATACGAAGTAATTGATATAAAATTAGTCAAAAAATCTGAATTTAAATCTTACTATATGTGAATTTTTGAAGAATGAATTTAAATAAATAAATACAATTTTAAATTCGTTGATTTAACAAATAATATATTAGAAGATAATCAACCAATCAAAATCATCACCACTGTTTTGACTAAGAAAAGAAAGATAATAATTAAAATATTGAACAATTCGATGAAGTTAGATTAGCAATCTTTTTCCAAGTTGTACATGCAATTGCTATTTCAGCACATTAATTAACCACGTGGGCCTTAATAATCCATTATAAAATTAGAACAAATTACATAGACATTTTTTATTTTATGAGAATTTTAAATACACACACTCCATTTTTAAAAATTACACAAAACTTTCTAATATAATCTCAACTAACTATTCATGGTGGACGCAAGCAAATTGTCCTGATTTAGTTCTATTCATTCTAATATTTTTAATTTACAAGCGTTGTGCAATTTATATGTACATCTTATCTCAATCAAAATAGTTCATAACTTCGACTTAAAACTCCATCAATACAAATCAGAGTCGAACCATGAGAGACGTTATATGAAAACACCACTGAAAGTGCATCTTGCTGATGATAGCACCGCCATAATAAATCTAGTAAGACAACGATACGATGGTGTCTGATGTAGGCCTAAGGCCTAGATATTATGATGATTTCGTTGTAATCGAACTCTAGCCAATCAAATCCCTTAAGGTGGGCAGTGTCACATAGTTATAGGTTGGACACTGTAACTTGACATAATTAGACCGATGAGCTCATGATTAATGACTATGGGAAGGGAAGAAAGGCAAGTGAAAACGACCGAATTGAGAAATATTTCCATACTACTGTTACACAAATTTCAACAATATTACGTTTTTACGTACTTTGCTGAAATTCTAGCAATATCATATCATTACTTTATCAAAATTAATATAGGTTGATAGAAAGGTGTCAAGACATTTTTTGCTATCAACAAGAAGCAAAAATATTTTAATAAATAATTGCATTTAAAAAAAAAAATGAAACCAATTGGCAACGAACTTCCCCTGGTAACCGCAACGGACCTAATTGTTGAAGGTATCGTCGCTAATTACGCTCATTAATTAGTAAGCCGTTGATAGCGTCGTCGCTAATTAATTAAAATAGAAGGGTTTCGATTGGTATCATCTCCCAATTTCTGCAGCAGTTTACTGTTGAAATGGATGGATCCTCCCTGTATACAGAAAGAAGATTCCTAGAAAATTAAGGAAAGAATATACAGTTTGAACTAAAGAATCAAAATCTTGAAAATTCCGCTTTTATGTATGCATACAGTTTCCCCAAACTGTTACCCTGGTCGGATTTCCGGCCATAATCCTCTAAAATTAATGTCCTCGTGTTGATTTCAGTTCAATATCTCGCACAAAAGGATGTGATAACAACTGGGTTGCACTCCATCTTTTACTGGGATCCTTCTGCAAACAGCACTGAATGAAATTCTTCAAATTTTCCGATGCACTTTCCGGCAAGCTCGGTGGATCGCCGAAGCATATGGCACACATAAGTGTAGCCCAGTCAGGTCTTTGCCCCTCCGGCAAGTATGGAAAATGGCCCATGAACAGTTCCAGTAGAGTCAATCCTAAGCTCCATATATCGCCGGCGTACCCGTTGTAATTGCCGCCGTATGTATCCGGGTCGAATCTTTCCGGGCTCATATAAGCGCAGGTTCCAACGTAGGAATTGCAGGGATCCAATGTCCGGTGCATGATTTTACTGACTCCAAAATCAGAAATTTTCACTTCCAATTTATTGTTTACTAATATATTTGAAGGCTTCAAATCTCTGTGAATAATCTTGTGGGAGTGCAAATATTCAAGCCCACTTAAAACCTGGAAGCAGATCCTGGAAAGAAGTTGCTCGGAGAATTTGGTGCCGTTTTTCATTAGGGTCTCGAGGGTGCCCATGTCCATGTACTGCATGCAGATTGCTATATCGCCGCCGGGAATATCGAAGACGCCGTGACACTTGATGACGTAAGGGGAATCTGTTCGGCGGAGGATGGAAACTTCACGGAGGATCTGGCGGCGGATTGCGGTGTCGCTATCTCCATGAACAACTTTCAATGCATACATAGCTGAGGTGTGTTTGTGGCGGACTTTGTAGACAGTACCGCCGTTTCCGTGGCCCAAGACTTGAAGTTTTTCGAGGTCAGCAGCAGTGATGGTGGTGGTGGAGGGTGGGAGGGGTAAGTGGAAGCGAGGGCGGCGCTCGGAGGTTTCCGGCAAAGGGAGGCGGAGGTTAAGCTGGCGGCGTTCACGGACGATGCCCATCAGATTTTGGGCTAGATCGGATTATTTTGGATTAGATTTTTCTTGAAGAAATGATTGGTTGTATATATAAGTGGGAAAATTACGAAGCACGTGTGATGGTGGGAGGAAGGGATGAGGATATGGAGGTAGCTGGCTGGTGGGTCCTACTTTGCATTACATAAGATTTTCATCATTCGTGATCTAAAACCCACTTTGTTATGATCGTAATATAGAAAAATGCATCATATTTTGAAAAGGATTAATAGCATAAAATCCCTTTAGAAATGGTTTTATTTGCGATATATCTCTTTATCTATTAAGAATCACGAAATCTCACTGATTGAAACCTTTTGTGCGAAATGCAACCTTTTTTGTGCAAAAAAGTCTCATATCGTCCAATTCCATCAGTTTCATCGTTAAAAACAGCAAAAATTGTCAAAATCAAGGGGAATAATTGAAGTTGTAATCCCAAACTTTTATTTTTTTCAAATTACACCAAAATCTTTTATTTGCGCAACTCACAATCATAAACCTTTATAACTTTATCTTCTTTTCCACTCCCAAATCTTTCGAAATCTCTCTCCATTTTCTTTTATTTTTCCTGTCTGGATTGTCGTTTCTTCAAGTCTAATTTTTAGACCAAAAGCCCTACTCTTTTCACTATTTCTTCTTTCATCAAAACAAATTTTCTTGTTGTCATTAGTTTAACAATTTCGAGAATCAAGATTCAAACTTACAGTCTAATTCTTGAGGTGCATTGTCATTAGTTTAACAATTTGAAAAATGGATTTCAATTTTGATGATGGTTGAGAGTGGAGTTACAAGAGTACTAAAGGAATATAGTGGAGATTGTGGGTTGTGTAAATAAAAAAATTTGGTGTAATTTGCGGAAAAAAAAAAGTTGGGATTACCATGAATATCATTCAAATTTCCATATTTTTTTGCACATATTCTTCTTCTTCTTTTTTTTTAATGAAATCATCTTGTGACCTCGTTAATGGATATGTCACTTTAAATTTCTCGACACTGATTCAAAATGAGCAACAAACATAATTTTGCAAAATCAGATATTTGATCAAAAATTTGTTGATATTCATATCATTATGCAACTATAATGAAACGTTTGTGACAAACTAGCTCTTTATTAAAAGTTTAAGTACTAAATTACTATTGAGAATATTTAAGGGACCGAATGTACAATTTCTCATAAATTACGATAAACAATATACTTCCAACAATACTAAGTGCTTGTTTGATAAAACTTTGATACTTTGGAACTAAATAAATTTCAATTTTAATAATACATTTTATAGGGTCCACAAATTTAATCAACTTTTCAATCATATATTTTATAAAGTATTATCTGCTAATTTTTTTTATAGAAAACTTTGTCGAAAAATCCATAAATTAAACTTACAGAAATCGAATCATACGTTTGTCGTTCTACAATATATTTTCCGAAAGCGCATTTTATGTTCACCTCAAGAGTGTCTAGTACAAAATATTGAGCAAGATTAAGTGCCCAATGACCACCTAATAATTCTCCTAGTTGAGCAAGTGGACACGAATTATTTAAGAGTGTCTGGTACAAAAAATCCATGTTGTAAAAACGTGAAAACACGCCACTTAGGCGCGCCTAGGAGCTACCAAAATGCGTCGAATTCGGGAAATGCGGGAAAAATGCGTTTTCCAACTAAAAGGCGCGCCTATGAGCGCCTAGGCGCGCATTAGTCAGCCTAGTCCCCTTTTTTTTTAAAATTTTTTTTTTATATATTAAAAAATCTATTTTTTTATATAAAAATATATTTAGTGCCTTAAAAATACGAAACGCATTATGACGTTTATTTTTCGCATTGACACACCTAAACTTGTGATTCTTGATTCTCGACATCAACGCTTCGCAACGCATTACGCATTTTAGAACACTGCAAAAAATTGAACAATCGACTTCACTAAATTAGTAAAACAAAACAAAATAAAATGATTGGCACTCTCTTAAATAATTCATGTCTTTTAATGTGGTCTTTGTCATAGGGGTCTAATGATTCTCCTAGTCGAGCAAGTGGACATTTTGATATGTTGTAGGGACATACAAGTTGTCATGGGCTATAGGCCACCTTGTAAATCATTGTAAAGATACATTCTACAAGGTATCGATATAAAAAGCTGGATACTCAGAGCTCGCTTCACATTCTTGGAATTTCCCCCCTCTCAAAATCAAGTATCTATCTCAAGACTTACTTCGAAATATTCACTAACTTATATAATTGAAAAGTTACTTTAAAATTGGTGCTACAATCATTTTATTTAAATTATGTCTTCAACATACTCATTTATGCACAAAATATATTATATTTCAAACAAATGTTTAATATCGTAATATATGCACAATTATTTATATACGAGTGACTTACAATAATTGAACCAAACGTTTTGTTCTTCTATGCATCTCTGTGATTGGCTCATCTCTCTAGCAACAACCAACAAGTAAGTCCTGACGTTTATGACAGACGATGCCGAATCACTGATCCCATCAAAATGGCCAGACGCTAGACACTAAATTCCATCTAGCCCAGTATCCATGTTCCATTGCATTGTGTTGATGGACTTTCTCTCCTATTATTATTTAAATTTTAAATAAGTCGTCACGTTTATTCATAATTTTATTACAATGGATGGTTATATATTGGACCTATTTGTGTAATAAAGTCTCAAATATATAATGTGAAAATTAACTTATCAAATAAATATAATTCAGTTAGGCTTAGGATAAATGGGTACGTGGAGGCTGCCTATGAATGGCTCTCACAATCACGTAGCATTCAAGAAAATGTGCCCAAATTCAATGTGCTTAGCCAATATTTTTCATGTGGTACCGGACAAAGGCTGCTATTATTTATTATTTCTTTCTCATATATATGTATATCTCTGTGTGTTTCTTCTCACAATTCATTGAATGGGGTCAATTTTGTTCAAGGGGGATAGATTTGAAATTGAGAAGTTGGCACTTGGTCACGTCAAATGTGGACCAACATTATTTTGAAATATCTAATTAAACAAGAAAAAATATTAAGGTTCTCTTTGGGTCAGATTAAAATTTGATTTTAATCAAAGTCAAAATCAAACAATCAATATTAACCATATCTTTCATGGGTCCCTCATCTTTTCAACCACGCATTTCAAAAACTTCTATCACAATCCACTAAAAATCTAATTTGAATCCCCACCAAACACCCTATAACTTAATATTGCAGTACCTGAATTAAAATAAATAATTCGCTTAGTTAGATTATGTTTACACAATAGTCTATTGCAAGGAAACCAATGCAAAAGATGCAATGAAAATGTTAGCAACCAATACTCCACGTCACCCGCCCCAGTTTTTGATAAATTGAAGTTACATTAAATGGGCTTAATTTCACCTGCCCCAGTTTTTTATAGAAGTTTTTGAAATGTGTGGTTGAAAAGTTATGGGACCCATAAAAGATGTTAATATTGATTATTTGACTTTAACTTGGATTAAAATTAAATTTTAATTCGAACCAAACAAGGGCTTAATTTCAATTATCGAGTTTTGACTCCACTTTATGACATGTTGCATTTTAAAAGGGGCTGAGCCAGAGGAGGGGAAAAAAATAAATAAATAAAAAATCTGCTGGAGACATTACATTAAATTTAAATGGGCCTTGGGGGGGAGGGCTAAAGCCCAGCATTGTCCCCCCCTCTCCCTATGCCTTTGTTTATCGTTGTTCTAAATGCTTTCATCGACATGGCCAGTTTATGAATGATTAGTGACTAGAAAGATAAATTGAATCATCAAAAAATTGGACTCTCATAATTTGTGTGATTTTTTTATATATTTCATGTGATTGAATGCGATTTGACATCTGGTGATTTACGTAGAGATACAATATATTTGCGTCTTTAAAATATGTTCAATTTTTGCAAAGAGAGACTATTATATATATTATAAATAAAATCGATCAAGAACACAATTAAAATGTTGTAATAACTTGAGAGGAGAAGTTAAATCGGATAATCCATGGTAAAATTGTGAGTCCTCACAACTTAATTAATCGAACTCTTCTCCATTTTAAATTATCGATCACCTTCTCATAGTTTTAACTTGATTTTTATTGTAGTTTATAATCACTTTAAAATCGACCATTCAAATAAAGTTAAGGCTAAAAATTTGGTACTTAATAATGTGGTTCTTCTGAGGACAACTATCTATTAATCACCTATTGTCGCAATATTATACACTTATAGCTATTAGCGTCTAGCCAAAAGTACCTTTACAAAATGTAATCTTTTTTTAGCATGATTCAACCCGAACCCTTCAATTATATAGTAAAACTCTTTATTCCATTCCTTGTGGCCATTAAATGACAAATTCGTCGTTCTCTTTTAATAAAAAAAATTATAAACTGAGTCCAATAACTTTTCAAAAAGTAGAAATAAACCACTCTTTGCTATTCTTCATTTTTGGAGGGTACATTTGGTTATTTGTATTTTTCTTTTTATTTATTTAAACTAGAGGGTAATTTAGTCTTTTCACACAACCTTAACGGTTGAAATGGGCTTCTTCTATCATCAAGGACATATCAAACTTTGGGATGTTTGGTGTCATTTTTAAAGGTGAGGGGTTATCTCATACATTTCTGAAGATTGGGGACCCAATATGCTATATTATCCATTTTGTTTTAAAAAGGAGGGCACATATGTCATTTAACGGCCAAAATGGAAGGAAAGTTGCTACATGATTAGGAGATTGAAGATGGATAACAGTAAAATAAATAAATAAAATGCAAAAGTATAAATTTGTTGCATTTAAAAATAATTGGGAAAGAAAAAGTGCAAAAATTCCTTTATTTTATTATATTGTCACCTTCAATAACACGTACCAGAAATGGTGGACAGTCGGGGACTGGACCTGCCACGACCAACCTATATCATTTTTTAACATTTTTTTTCTATTTTTGTCATTTTTAGTAATTTTATTGTACTTTTTTTTTTGTAGTTTTCTATTTTTGTCCTTTTAAGTATTTTATTGTACAGCTGTGAGTAGTTAATTATTGTGTTTAAATTTTAATAGTTGAGTGGAAAAGTTACGAAGAAATTATTGTATTTTGTATGATATGCAATCAAATGAATAGAAAAGTAATACTAAAAAGNCTCATAACTTTTCAAAAAGTACAAAAAAATCACTCTTTGCTATTCTTCATTTTTGGAGGGTAAATTTGGTTATTTGTATTTTTCTTTTTATTTATTTAGACTAGAGGGTAATTTAGTCTTTTCACACAACCTTAACGGTTGAAATGGGCGTATTCTATCATCAAGGACATATCAAACTTTTTGGGATGTTTGGTGTCATTTTTAAAGGTTAGGGGTTATCTCATACATTTCTGAAGACTGGGGACCCAATATGCTATATTATCCATTTTGTTTTAAAAAGGAGGGCACATATGTCATTTAACGGCCAAAATGGAAGGAAAGATAGAGTTTTGCTACATGATTAGGAGATTGAAGATGGATTAAAGTAAAATAAATAAATAAAATGCAAAAGTATAAATTTGTTGCATTTAAAAATAATTGGGAAAGAAAAAGTGCAAAAATTCCTTTATTTTATTATATTGTCACCTTCAATAACACATACCAGAAATGGTGGATAGTCGGGACTGGACCTGCCACGACCAACCTATATCATTTTTTAACTTTTTTTTTTCTATTTTTGTCATTTTTAGTAATTTTATTGTACTTTTTTTTTTTTGTAGTTTTCTATTTTTGTCATTTTTAGTATTTTATTGTACAGCTGTGAGTAGTTAATTATTGTGTTTAAATTTTAATAGTTGAGTGGAAAAGTTACGAAGAAATTATTGTATTTTGTATGATATGCAATCAAATGAATAGAAAAGTAATACTAAAAAGTGATAAATCATCGTGAATAACATTTTGACAATCTTCTATATTTACTTAAGTGAAAATAATATTGACATAGACGTGAACATGCAAAAGGTGATTGCGACCATCGATTGGATGAGTTGCAACGCGAAATGTAAAATTCTTGTTTTTATTTGAAGAATTTTGTTTGATTCGAAAAATGATTGTCCTTTTTTTTTAATTTATTGGATTTAATTTTACATAATTGAAAATCAGGAATTTGTAAAATTTTAACCCTTTTTTGCATTAAATTTTATGATATTACTTGTGGATTAATTTTATATGGGTTTTGCTAGACATACACGGGGTTTACACTCCGGTGTACCCGGCTCCACCTGCCTCCCTCACAGTAGGGGGGCCACAATTATTTTATTAATCGTGGGCCCTTCCCTCATGTGAGGGGAGTGTAAACCCCCGTGTACAAATAATAATGCAAAGCTAAAATTTACATTGATTTCTAAAATTTCAGCCCTCCTAACAAAAATCGTGATCTGCCCTCCAAACGTATAGTTCACGTCCATTAAGAACCCAAAGAGAAAATTCATTTTTCCTTTTGAAAGCATTCGCTTCTGCCAACAGTGAGATGCACAAAACAAATCTTTCAGATTAGAGTTGTCGGCACCCTGTACATACTGCTTGTACAGGATGCCGACAACTCAAATAGGGGGTAGTTTTTTTACTTTTTTATTGAGGTGGGTCCCGCGTGGGTCCCACCTCTGTGTGAGTTGTCGTGCCCCATCTGTACATGCAGAAGAACTCTTCAGATTAAGAGTGGTGTCCAATCAACAAAAATATAATGTTTGGAATTGATTCCATAGATTGGGGAAACAGTTTTCCTACTTCTTATCTTCATCATTATTCCACAATCAAAGATAAAGCATAGGTCGAAAAATTGATAGAAGCAGACAATATAATTCCTTGTCCTAGATGATTTACAATGTGATTCTCTTACCACCACATACTGTCCTAAATTCCTCAACAAGAAAAGTTGGTCGAATAAAGGGATAGTCTCTTGCATACATTGGATCAATAAGATAGTTTTACGGTAATGAACGAAACTAGACAGTGTCTGAACTTTTTTCTATGATTATCATTTAGTACTGTTCAATCTAGTCTGTCAAATATGTCCGAGATTTATAGGAGTCCAGGTAGAAGTAAGAGAGACGATGAATCAGAAGATGAGGAGGATATTCAAGAAACTTCCAGGTTATCATGGAACAATTGGTTCAAAGTGTTGAGAAACCACTCGAGAAAAAAGTATAGAACTGGAGGCAGGAGCCAATCTCGTGCATATATCATAGATCCTGATAACTGGTGAGCTCTCTTCATTGTACTTACAGTATCATTTTAGTATTCCATTTCAGTTTATAGTTCTTAACCTGTGGTCCTGTTTGTTCGTGTTCATGCAGGTGGTACTTGGCATGGACGCAATTTATTCTGATATGGGCAGTGTACTCTTCCTTCTTTACTCCATTAGAGTTTGCATTCTTCAGAGGCCTGCCGGAGAAATTTTTCCTTCTGGACATCGCCGGCCAATTTGCTTTTTTAATTGACATCGTCATCCAATTTTTCGTCGACTATCGCGATCCCCATTCCTATCGCCTCGTCTCAAACCGCAATCTCATCGCCATTCGGTTTGTACTGTACTTATTAAAACAGTAGTTCAGCTATTTACACTCTTCAGTTTGTCTTTTTGCAAATTGGAATGAAGTGTTAATATTTACAGGTATCTGAAATCTCGGTTTCTGGTTGATCTACTAGGTTGCTTGCCATGGGATGCCATATACAAGGTTCTTCGAAACCTATTTAAACCTTTTTCTCTTCTACATTTTCTTGGTTTGGCAAGTTATACAAGTGCGGATTAAGGAGCTTGGAATTTTTTTGTTAAGGTTGCACGGAAACTTCTAAAATGATAGCGCTTCTGTTTTGATTACGTTTCTGAAATCGAAACTCTAGCGAAGGTTTAGAAAACTCAAAAGAATTTTCTACTTCTACTTTTTTAACTAAAATTTGGAAAGTTTAAGGAAGATTGTAGGACAATTTTGACCAAAATATTCGAAAACCTCGTACTGAGTTAGTTACCTGCCTCGATCAGGCTTTTGGCAGAAAGGAGGCTGTGAGGTATATGCTATGGATTAGGCTAAGCCGGGCACTTAGAGTGACAGAATTTTTCGATAAGCTGGAGAAAGACATACGAATCAATTATCTGTTTACAAGAATTGTGAAGCTTTTCGTGGTTGAATTATACTGCACGCACACAGCTGCGTGCATATTTTACTATCTGGCTACGACTCTACCTCCATCAAAAGAAGGTTATACATGGATCGGTAGTTTAGAGCTCGGTGAATATAGTTATGCAAACTTTAGAGAGATTGATCTTTGGACGCGTTATGTAACATCACTCTATTTCGCTGTCATTACCATGGCAACTGTTGGTAAGTTCTTTTCGCTGTCGTTACCATGGCAACTGTTGCTCTTACTCTTAACAGGGTCCTAATATTATTGTTTAATTCATGCTGCAGGTTATGGTGATATTCATGCAGTCAATGCCAGGGAAATGATATTTGTCATGATCTATGTATCATTTGACATGATTCTTGGTGCTTATTTACTGGGTAACATGACAGCCTTGATTGTGAAAGGATCCAAAACAGAAAGGTTTAGGGATAAAATGGCAGAACTTATTAAATATATCAACACAAAGAAGCTCGGAAAGAACATAAGCAAAGAGGTCGAAGGCCATGTTCGATTACAGTATGAGCAAAATTACACTGACGCTTCTGTTCTTCAGGATCTTCCACTTGCTACACGAGCTAAAGTATGAGAAGAATCATTTTCTGTCTCCGTCTCAATGCTGAAATAGTACCAAAATAATCCGAAAATAAATCTGAGATAAATTGTGGCACATTTTTCTTATGCAGATATCAAGAAAATTGTACGTGCCGGACATAAAGAAAGTTCCTCTTTTCAAAGGTTGCTCGTATGGATTTATCAAGCAAATTGTAAGTGATATTCTATTATCATTCAATGTAAATTGTCGTCTGCCAGTGTTTCTAAAGATATCCTCACTCATTATACTCGTTGTGCAGGCATTCAGAATGCATGAAGAGATTTTCATTCCCGGAGAAGTGATTATAGAAGAGGGAAATACTGTCGATCAACTTTATTTCCTTTGTGATGGTAAACTGGTATGACCTTTCCTTAACCGTATTTCATATTTCCAATCATAGTGATTAGAGAGAATCCTGTCCAATATTTTCTTGATTCAGGAAGAAGTTAAAAAATTTGAAGATACTGAAACGCAAGGATCTTTATCGACTCTGGATACTTACAGTTCAATTGGTGAAATTTCTGTTCTCTGTAACATCCCAGAACCTCGTACTGTCCAAGCTACTGAATTCTCTAGGCTCCTACGCATTGATAAGCAATCTTTCATTGACATTCTTGAGATTCACTTTTCTGATGGGCGCACCGTCATCAATAACCTTCTTGAGGCAAGTTGATCATGGACTCTTAGCCTCTGTTTGGGAATCATCCCAGATTTCTGAGAGATCCTTTATTTACCGACCATATTATTATTAATAAGTTAACTTTATGGTTTGTTCTTAACATTAAAAAATGGAAAAGTGTGTGCTATAGGAAACATTGTTTATGCTGTCCTGAAAATCTCAAGACATAACAACAGGGATTTTTTCCAGTCATTTTGAAAAGGACTTACGACCATACATTTGTGAATTTCAGGGAAAAGAATCTACATTTCGAAGCGACATATTGGAGTCTGATATTGTTCTGCATATTGAAAAACATGAATCGGAGTATGCTATGAGATTGAATTATGCTGCCCATAATGGAGATCTGCATCGACTAAGACATTTCGTTGAAGCGGGAGCAAATCCCAATAAGGCTGATTACAATGGACGAACAGCTCTGGTATGTAACTGAGTATGCATGAAATCTTTCTGCAGTTCTTCTCATTCAAGGATTTTCTGTGTCTTTGGTATACGTGAAATCTTTCTCATTTTACCTACTTTATCTTTCATATCCAAAATTAAGTCAGTTCCGTGCTCAGACAATAGATAATCAACTAAATCGAGAATTTGTGAATTAATCTCACACTTTGTCCAGCCGGTCCTTTATATAGGGGTTTATATGCGGTGACAAGCACACTCTCTCTGAATGACAAAAGCCTCCCACAGTAGTTGTAACATTAGGCTCATTGGTCGAGTAGTTGGCTCATTAATCTGGGAAAAGTTATTCAGGACTGCTGATCATACTGACGAGCTGGTACTCCAGGAAACCTGATCACAAGGGAACTGATTATTAGCCAATAATCTGATGAGACCGACAAGAGTTGGATTGAGGATTTGAAGTTGGTGGGAAGAAAATTACATCTTCATCAGCCTAGAGCAGTGCATTTCTTTGAGATCTTGTGGTACCCTTGTATGTATTATGTCTTCAATGCTTGGAGGTGATGCACATGGACAGTAGAGGCACTTTTTGTAAACTAACTTCCCATCAAGTGTCGGCCTATGTATACATTAAAATACACATTCTCAGAGGCCTAAGTACACACGTACATATTTACTCCTCAACGATATTGGTCTATGGCAGGGAGGAGGAGGTTGGAGGGCTTGATCTTCGCAATCTGAAAGGCTTTAACGGTGGATCTAGCGGTTACCTTGATAGTAGGAAAAAAATTCTTTGCTAGTCTAGAATTCTTTAACCACAGATTTATGGAGATGCCATCTCAGATCCTGAACTTCTAGCAATTACGTATTCTTTCAACTTTTTATCTTAACGAGATTTACAACCACGTGAAAGTACGTGTGTGGTCAGTCTGTTCATCAATTATTTCGTCATTAGCCTATTATTTCGTTAACCTCATTAATAACTTGAAACAAACATTATTTCGTAATGTTTAATATCCTTCATTATATTAAATTATTGAGAGACGAAAACATTTTATTTTAGCACCTTGCTGCATCCAAGGGGTATGAAGATATTGTTCAGTTTCTTATCCAAGGAAAAGTCGAGATCAATGTTAGAGGTCAGTTACTGGCTTTTGCAATTGCCATTTATCTTGTAAAAAAACTTTGCAGTTCTCTTCCCTAATTGTTATAAGAAACTCATTCTGGCTGAACTGTTCTTGTAGATAATTTTGGGAAAACTCCATTATATGAAGCGATCAAGAATAGCCATGACCGAGTGGCATCTTTGCTCGTGAACGCAGGGGCTTCATTATCTATAGATAATGCCGGAAATCGTCTCTGTGAGGCTGTTGCAAGTCGAGACTTTGATTTCCTGAAAAGGCTTTTGGCAAATGGGATTAATCCAAACTCGAAAAACTATGATCTTAGAACACCTCTACACATAGCCACATCAGAAGGGTTGTATCCAGAGTCGATTTTACTTCTAGAAAGTGGGGCTAGTGTCTTTGCAACAGACAGGTACCGACTAGTACTCATTTTTATTTTTCAAATATGAACTAGATGAGGATTGGTCATTTACGATATATGTCATTTGCAGATGGGGCAAAACTCCACTGGACGAAGCCCGCATAGGTGGAAACAAGGCTCTAATTAAGCTATTGGAAGATGCAAAGATTACGCAGTTGTCAGAATTATCTGTCTGCTTTGAGAGAACTGAAGGTATAGACTATAGATTTTCTACAGGAATGTATATAATTAGAATTTAACCTCTTCATGCAGCTTTTCTCTATCGTTTATAGGAGTCAGATTAACTGTAGAGTTGTAGTATTCTGAGATCTGTTCCTTATTTTAGATATCGTAGTTGGGAGAGAAAGGGCTTCATTATCTATAGATAATGCTGGAAATCGTCTCTGTGAGGCTGTTGCAAGTCGAGACTTTGATTTCCTGAAAAGGCTTTTGGCAAATGGGATTAATCCAAACTCGAAAAATTATGATCTTAGAACACCTCTACACATAGCCACATCAGAAGGGTTGTATCCAGAGTCGATTTTACTTTTAGAAAGTGGGGCTAGTGTCTTTGCAACAGACAGGTACTATTACTCATTTTTATTTTTCAAATATTAACTAGATGAGGATTGGTCATTTACGATGTATGTTATTTGCAGATGGGGCAAAACTCCACTGGACGAAGCCCGCATAGGTGGAAACAAGGCTCTAATTAAGCTATTGGAAGAAGCAAAGATTACGCAGTTGTCAGAATTATCTGTCTGCTTTGAGAGAACTGAAGGTATAGACTATAGATTTTCTACATGAATGTATTAGAATTTAGCCTCTTCATGCAGCTTTTCTCTATCGTTTATAGGAGTCAGATTAACTGTAGAGTTGTAGTATTCTGAGATCTGTTCCTTATTTTAGATATCGTAGTTGGGAGAGAAACAATAGATCCTTCCTGACTGCAGCATACAATTCCCTGTTAAACTGCACTCTTTTGTGGAAAAGATACTCTTGAATCATCAACCAACATTTATCAAATTAATAAATAATAAGCTTCTGCATCACGTAGCTGGCTAATATTCGACGTTTTCTCCTGCTTCCAATTCATTATTTTGATTCTATTTTGGCATTCGTGCGTGACAGGTAAAATGCCAAAAAGGAAATGTACAGTTTTCCCAGGGAAGCCATGGGATTATAGAGATGATAGGAGGAGTATCGGAGTTGTTTTATGGGTTCCAGAAACCATTGAAGAGCTCATTGAAACAGCAAAAGAGCAGTTAAATTTTACAGGTGGTTCCTTCATATTATCTGGAAACGGAGGCAAGATTCTGGATATAAGCATGATTTCTGATACTGAAGAGTTATATTTAGTTGGTGAAGCCCAATGAATCCCTCAACTTTGTTCTGAGTATGTATATATATAGAACTGTGTAATTATACACTTTGATCCTGAACTTTGCAAGCTTGGTTTTTTTAATAACCGTGGGTATCCGGGCAGTCTGCGCGCACCTCGACCAATCCCACTAGGTTTTATGGTTGGGTACTCACGCCGGATGGAACTCGAATTGGTGACCATTGGGGGACCAAATTCAAGGTCCGACCAATTGAGCAACATTGAGTTGAACTTTCCAGGCTTTTTGAATTTTAGGGTCCTTGGCGTTTCTCAGAAAAGATACATACATCCATGCATAAATAAAAGAAAAATAGAATCAAGAACATAAATAATTTAAGTAAATCCATTAGTTGCATAAATTATATAATTAAAACCAAAGAATCCCCTAGAAACTACAAATAAGATTCATAGAAGATTGAAACTACTCAAAAGCCCAAGAATTCTCTGCACGAACTGCCTTTTCTTCCTCCTCGGTGTAGTCATTCTGGATATTGAATTTCTCCCGAAGCTCTTCCACTGACCAGAGTTTAATCTCGTTCGCACAAGCATCACACAATACATTCATTAATGCCGGGAAGTTGAGATAATTTGCTGCTAAGATCATCCCAAGAAGATCGTTAATCGGCTTCTTCACAAACTCGGTTTCAAAGTCCTTTTTGTCCGAATCGGTCAGTGTAGAATCCGCATGTTTTTCCATGAACTCTATGATCCAAGCCAGATTTTTGCTATCTACATTCAGCAACGGTATTGCGCCCAAGTCACAGCCAACTTCAACCACATTCTTGATTGTTATACACTGAACTGCAGCAGACTCTTTCACCACGAATTCTTCATTATCGGAGCTTTTCAAAATCAGCGTTTTTTCTTCAGAGGAAGACATGATTGTGCGTACTTTTTTTTTTTTTAATAAAACCCTACAGAGAAAGTTGCAGACGGAAAAAAAAAAAAGAAAGAAAAGTGGGGAAGAAGGTATGGCAATTGGTTAATATATATACTGCTGGAGTTAGGGGATGCCCTATTAGGACTTTCCTAAAATATAGTTTTCGGACTCCCTTTTTTATTGGGACTAGGAAATATATTTTCTAATGAGTAAAATATATACAATTATAAATAGAAAGAAATTAAAAAAAAAAAAAAATAATATATATATACAGAAATGATCTAATGAGCACCGGTGCTCATCTTATCCTAAACACCAATGAGTTGGCACATTAATTCATTGGTGGATTGGAACTCACAAAATCTTTATCCACCAATGAATTAATGTGCCAACTCATCGGTGCTTAGGATAAGATGAGCACCGGTGCTCATTAGATCATTTCTNTGGTGCATGTGTCAACACTTGTTTGGGTAAATTTTTTTTTTTTGTTAACTGTTGAATCATTGAATGACAAGTGGCGCACCTAGTTTTATACCTGTCATTAACCCTGTTTTTGTAGTAAAACTCTTCTGTTCTATATTGAAACAAATTCTTTAAAAAATTCATCTTCTACCTTTTTTTCGTACATTCTAACCTAATCGTGGAAGTGTGAACTATCGTGGGGTCGGTTTGAGCAATTCACTAACCGGGCCTTGTTTTGGAGAGAACCGTGGAGGAATAGATTATTTCTTGACCGAAAGGTCCAATAAAAGTTTTGAGGTCTCCAGATTAGTCGATCCGACTGATGCACCTTTGCCCATTAATAAGCCAACCACTCAAAAACAGGAAAATAAGCGAGCGACTCTACCAAAGGAAAACAATAACACAGAAAATTCTTCAAAAATCAAAGGAAAAATGGCATTGCAATGGATGATACTGGCATACGTGGTGGCGGCAGAGGCAGGGGTTGCAATTCTCTTAACTTTACCATCGCCAAAGGCTCTGAAATCTCGTATTGTGTCGTTGATCTCTCTTATTCTCCAACCTTCGCTCTTCGTTGTACCCTTCTCCGCTTTTCAGCTTCTGGGTATGTTTTTTATCTTTATTCTTTTGGAATTTTTTTATTTTTTTATTTTGTGATTTTTAGGTTTTTGGTGTTGTTATTAGAAGTGGGGGTTTATTTGATTTTATTTATTTATTGTAGATATATATTGGAAGAATGAGCATCGGTTGATGTGTACTGGGGAGATCTGCACTGCTGCTGAAAGAGATCGCTATGAGAAATCGGTAATTAATTTTAGGTTCTCTCTCTTAGCAGGACTTTTGGAAAGTTAACAATGTTATAATTTTGAATTTGAAGCAAAAAAAAAAGTGTTAATTAAACATTAGATGTACATCTTGTCTTACGGCATGGTTGACATACGTGGCATAATCTGGGCAGCGATGCGAAAGATTATTGGGGAAATCAAAGGATAAGATGGTGCCACACCGAAATATGTAAAGGAAGATAGGAATTATAATCTAGATGTAGCTTGATTGAATTTGGAATTTGATGCAAGGCAGATGATGTTTTTATATTTACTGTAGTTCGGGATCTTGTGAATGGTCAGGGAAGAATTCTTCAAGTACAGGCTATCCGCTGCTTTCACTTGAGGCTTTACGTATTTTAATTCTTCATTTCTTGAAGTTGTTTGTCAAACACAATTCTGAAGGATGGATTATGTACCCTTGAATCGTACTCTGATTTCTGAACTAAATATCTGGTTTTGTTAAATATTTGTCTCTTTCGTCTCTGTTGATTATCACCCTGTGGTTTCTGTTCTTAGCAAAAAACCTCTGAATTTTAAATAGATGCATCCATTAAGATTTTGAGTATAGGAATCCCAAGAAAAATAGAAAGAAGAAAATCGCACTGGAGTTGTGAAATAGTCACAGTCTGCCCTTCTGTATTGAGGACACCCTAACATCTTGAAGCATATGCATCTTTGGTCTCTTTCTTAGTAATCCATGGTCAGGTAGTGACTTATCTGCTTGCTGTTCTAGAGCTGTGACACCTTAATGTAGTCCATGTTGCGTAGCAGTCATTTTCATCTTTCCTCAAAATCGTCCTATTATTATGTAGTCCATTGACATTTGACTAGTGTGTGACATTTCTTAAATTATAACCTTCATTAACTGGAATCTTAGTTGGGTGGTGTAGATGGGAGCTTGGTCAGTCACACTTGTACCTGTGGTTTTATCATCTGTTTATTACCATATTCCTACTTTTATAAAAGATTTTGGTTGTGGCATTAGGCCACCACTTAGGTTGTATGTTCTTGATTCAAACTCTACTTGTATGAGGTGCAGATCTACAAGGCTCAGAGGAATGCAGTTTTGTGTGTTTCAGCTTGCCTTCTGTATTGGTATGTGGCTAACAATACTGACAACCTTTGGCATGTTTGGTGAAGTGGACTCGGAACAAAAAAAGTTCAAATCTTGTTTATTACACTGTCCGGTCTCGTTCAGTACTCTACCAAACATGCTAACTTATGTTCTGGTTTAGTTTTCAATCCTTCTTTTCACAATTTTGATATTCTTATACTTTTAAATGCTGGTGCAGGTGTATCTACCGTATTTGCAAGTATCACCAGGATATTCAGAGCATGGAAGAAGTCGAGAAGAGGTACAAGGAGCAGTAGGAGATTCAGTGGCTTAGCCATTCAGTTGCATCAATAGTGAAGCATATTATGTATCTAGCACTGCTGTTTTTTTTTTTTTAACAGTTTATGTTTACCGATATTGAATAATCTGTCTGGTTCAAGACATGCACAATGTTTTGGGAATATACATTCAACTTCTCTTCGTCATGTATTTGTAGTAGGAATCTGAACAATGTTATAATAATTTCTTTCCGAACAGTGGGGCGTTAGAATACCATGTCCTTCCAATCCTTGTTCTGCGTCCCGTAATCACAAGGAACAACAGTAGATGGCATCTAGACGATTCCGTTCTGTGTTGTTTTTAGGAAGCGTTTTCCTCAAATGCAATATCATGTTTGGAGAGTCTTGAAAATTCGAATACACAGAGAATTTGAAAGTTCAAATAAATAGAACAAGGTTAGAAGTTTTTTTTATTTTTTTTTTCTGAATTTTCATTTATAGGACTCTTTTGTAACTACAAATTATAAAGGTGTATACGTCTGGTAAGTCCACCATCTGATGGAGAATTCATAGCCAACGAAAAAAAAAGAAAAAATCTCGTATGCACTGTTCCCACATCAACTCTGTAAAAATATTTCTCATCTAAAATTTCAGGTCAGAAACAGTTATGTGAAGAACTCATGTCACTACTAGAGAGAGAATAATCCTCACTCATAGCATAAATGTCTCCATCTTTCTCTTCTTCCCACTTGAGGATCTCCTTTATGTATTTGAATGCTTTATCAACTGATGCTCGTTTCCTGGCTCTCGTTTTCCAAACATATAGCTTTCTGCCGGTGATGGACGCATATAACTCCTTGAACTTCACGGCTACATAGTAATACGCTTGATGTGCCAGGGAGTGGCTGTTGGTGTGAGATTTCAAGGGGTTGAAGTCGCGGAACCACTCACAAACTGTTAACGGAACCTTGTTGATTTTTTCTTCAAAGATGTCGTATTTGTTCAAGAGGAGAACAAAGGGTTTGCCCTGAAACGAAGTATGTCTCACAATGTTCTCAAAAAAATCTCGGGTTGCTAGCATCTTATTCTCCAGAAGACCTGCACCCCGACTCCCAATGTGGTCATAATCACTCAAGGAAACACAAAAGATTACAGTTCTCACATCTTCAAACATTTCCAGCCATTTGCAGCCACCATGCAGTCCCTTAAATCTGAGGCATATTAATTGGAACCTAAAAACAGCATAGAAAAAAAGAAAAAGGGTTTGTTTTATATAGGAGAATTTAAACTCTCAGCTAAGAAAGACGAGACACTAAGTGCATGTTTGGCACATATAATTGGATAGGACTTGAGAGTGTAATTGAAAAGATTTTAGCCATTTTTTGGTCTTTAACACTATTGAGCAGTGTTTAATATGCTGTACCAAACATGCACGTAATTGATACTTCCAGCTTCTTATAAGAATTTACCTTGTCAAAGGAGGTTGGCGTTCAAAGTTTTCATTGTACACTTCAGACATGGGGCTATGGTCATCAAAGGAAAATTCAATGCTGGCAAGACCATTGTTGGGAGTAACTCCTTCAGCAAATAAAATGTCTTCTTCTGAAGGTTTGTACTCGTTACATGATATCTCAGTGACCTGGAAAACATAAAAAGTTTGTTCAAATCACAGTACCAAGAGCTCATAGAGAATTTTGATTTTAGATTTTAATACAGAAACATTTGATAGCTGAATTAATGACTTTATTCTGTAAGATCCTCTGGTTGGTTATACCTGGCTGCTCCTTCAGAGCCTTGTATATGATCTTACACAACAAAAGAAATGGCAACGGCATTTTTATATAGAGGCTAAGATATCTGGTTCCAGCATTTTTATTTCCGATAACTTCAAAATTTCACATATTTGGGCTGTCTTTAATATTTTCACTGAAAAATCATGTTTTGTACATATCTTGACTCAATTAGATCCATGATTTCCCAAAATATTTCAATCTGTAAATTATAGCCAACAATTTACTAGTTCGAGGAGGAACATATGAAATCATACCCGGTCTAAGAAATACTTAGCTACATCAGGAAGAAAGTGCAGTTCCTCCCTCCTCTTGTAAGTTTCCTGGATGGCAGAATCTTTCCAACTTTCATCTACAACAGAAGCATACTCCCGTGCTGCAGCAGGAAAGAAAGCATTCAAATCTCCAGCAGCCACAATATCTAATAACCAATCCGAAAAATGCTTGATTCTCTGGTTGATTGAATAGATGCAATGCTTACTTCCTTCAAGCCCCATTTCACCTGAATAATAATTAATATGCAATGGTAACGAGAGTAAGAGCTTGTGTCTGTATTCAAAACCGTTCTCTAAGGCACAAGGAAATACCAACTAGCTACATATATATTCAAGAAGAACAAATGTAACTCGTACATACCGAATATTTAATCCATCCTGCTCTCGTTACTCAACTTATGTGAATATCCATGTTGAATTCTCCACATATTGAATTAACATAAATACGATATAATATATATGTTATTGAAACAACGAAATTCATCTCCTATTCCATCAAGGGAAAAATGCGTAGCAGAAAAGAAACTGTGCTCCAAAATATAGAAAGTGACCGATGTAGAATGTAACACAAGAAGAGAATAGAGAGGAGAAGAAAAACTTGGGAGGAGAAAAATCTATATTTCTGATTCTATATTATTAATGTGGTGAAAAACACAGCTAACTTTTTTATTGGGTAATGAACTCAAATAGAAAAGAACCAAATAACAACTCTTAAAATGATAAAATCCGATTTAATGAATATTGAAGTCTAGTCTCTAAGGGTCCGTTTCATTGGTTTAAATTCCATGCAAAAAGTCATATTCGAGAAATTCAATTTCTACTTTAGCTGTTTGATATGAAAGTGGAAATGGAGTTCGAATTCCAAGATACAACCACTTTAAGCTTTTTTTGCCAATTTTATGGAAAATGCATTCCTATAGGGTACTTGAGTTTTTATTTTCCAACTTACATGAATGGGAAAACATTTCCACCTTTGCCAATCAAAAGGACCCTAATTGAAACTCTGGGACAATGTGATGTCGCTGAAAGTTGATAAAAGCTTGTGGGTCTCAAGATATGTGTGGTGAAAAGTGGATAAAAGTCGTGGCCCTAATGAAATGTGTGGTTAAAAATGAAGTTTGACCAACTATTTACCAAACAAACACTCTTTTTTTATCTTGTTTTGCTAGGATTGGCTTCCAGTCTTTGCCCATTAGTGATCGCTCATTATCCTCACCTCATTAGCTAGAAGTGTTTCAGCTATCTTCAAATTTTGTACTTCGGAAAAAGAAGCGACGAGGATTCATGTTGGATGCAAGTATCCCTGATACATGTTTATCGGAAATAAATACTTAGCATAGAAGAGAAATTTGCTTTCTGATAAATGGGGCGTGACAGTTATGGTAGCCACGGTTAACAGCTTCAAAGTTTTTATTTAGTAGGAGGGATAATTAATCGGATAGCTTACCTACAAATAGAACGCCTGAACTAGTAAAATGTCAGTGATATTTCTCCTATTTTCGGACTATGTGCACAAAGTCCCGTCAAAGAATATGAATTGATTTATAAGCAAAAGTTTTACCACATCTTATCGCATGAAACAAGAATTAATTGCAACTTTGACGCGCTTCTGAATCTTTGGGTAATACTTAACTAGATAACTGTTTCTTCCGTATGTTGTCTAAGTGAAGGGGAGGTGGAGAAGTAGGAATCTGTTAATAGCATCAGACTAACTACATGGACTAGACTCGTTAGCATACATACCACAAGACTCTTCCGTATTCAAAATCTCCTCTTCAAAGCGCTCCCTTCCCTCAAATAAGATACTGAGATATAAGTAAATGTTACTTTGAATTATGAGCTTGATATTCTGCAGTTCTTCAGCAGTGAACTTGTTAGCATACAGAAATTTCACCTGTTACATGAGAAAATAACAAATTCAATCAGCTAAAGGAACGGGCACAATAAAATAGAACAAAACAAAAGGAAAGATATAACATTTTTTGTGAATGTAACTCTTCAAAATCCAAATTAGATATCTTCTAGGCGCATAATTAAAAAAAAATGTATCTGGGAAGGAAATATTATTGAACTTCACCCAAAGTTGGATGACCTCCAATGTTTGAATACGATAATTTTCATTCCAGTTGAATAATCATCTCTCTCTCTCAAAGTAGGCAAAAATAATAGAACCACACTATAAATTTGACCTGTTTAAAAATGGTGCTTGTCCCAGACTCCTCAAATCCAAGCATCAATAGTTTCTGGACTCTATCCTGGTCCAAATAATCCGAAATAGACCTAGTTGACAATGTACCAGGTTCTTCTTTTGTACTGTGAGAGCCTTCAGGTGGTACAGGCAATGAAAACAGTGAACAAATGAAACGAGTGGATGCCTTCCTAACAAGAAGCCAACCTCAACTTTTCAATCAGATTGAAAACCTTCAAATAATTGAACATAGCATCAATGAACGTAAAAATAAAAATTTATTAGATTACGAGAGAACCTTTTTCCATATGTTTCCTTTAATGATGTTTTGACCTTCTTCCTCGTAGGATCCGTCCTCATATACCCAAAAGTGAGTATCACAAGGGCACTGCACCTTAGCCAGCTGAAAAGTAGATAATGCAAACACAAATTAAGTTCCAAGTAGCAATTACGTAGGTTTTGAGTCGGTACTAACAAATGTAAGAAAGTTAGCAGTTACATAATGTAACTGCAAGTAGCAATAGTTGCAAACAAGTGGTTTCCTATGAATTTACAACCGTCAGATCTCAGATGGATTTATTCACTCTTAACAGCAGCCCACTCTTAGAGATTTAAGTTGAATTCTGGTACTGATCGACTTTTAGAGCTAGCTTACTATGGAATGCACTGTGCAAACATCCCTTAGAAAACAGAGCTGAGAAATGTGAGATAATTTCCACTTTACAGAAACTTTTTACCTTTAACACTCTGAGCTCAACTTTTGTGATCTCACGGCCATTGATGTAAACCCTCGTATTTCCATTACTCGCATCAATCTGTAGCTTGCCTCCAATATCTAATTTCGAGCTTATAATACTATTCGGCTTCTCTCCAGCCTGAAAAATTCGAACAATCAATATCTTGAGATACCATCATACTCAAATATCAAAAGACAAAATGCTAAAGAAATCATGCTTCAATAACTCATTTTACCTTACCCCAAAACCCGGAATCTCTGTCATACCAATACTGCCCGGGCCTCAAATCCCTTGGAGGAACCACACACCCCAGCAATTCCACCAACTCTTCTTCCCTCAATTGTCTCCCATTCACAACCACCTGCTCTGGCATCACCTGATTCACCGAGCACTCCCTCTCCACCTTCATTATTCGTTTAACCTCCAAACTGCTGCACAATTTCGCCAACAGCCTCGTACACTTCCCTAAGCTCCCCCTCCTCGCCTCGATAATTGGTTTCCCAATGCATCCCAGACACTTCCTCCCCTCCGGCATCGACCCCATCGCTTTTAACACACAATTCTTACAGTACTCTGCTCCACACACAAAGCAACCCACCCTTTCCCCTAAGAACCACCTCCCACCCTTTCCACCACACCTCCCACAAACTCTCTTTTTATTCCTAATAATAATCCCAAACCCTATGTTTATTTCCTTTTTCCTCTCATCAAAACTGGAAAAATTGTTACAATGGTTTAAACTACAGTCTCCCATCTGATGATCACCAACTTCATTTTCATCGTCAACCCTTTCCCACAACAACACACTATCCTTTCCGCCACACCTACCGTCAATTTTCCCTTTATTCCCAGTAATAATCTCGAACTCACTTTTAATTTCCTTTTCCCTCTCATCAAAACTCTTACAATTACGTGTACAACAGTCTCCCACCTCGTGATCACCAACTTCATCATCATTATTATTAGTATCATCATCACGAGGGATAAGAAAATCAGAAGATTTCTTTAACGAAATCGTTTCGCTGCTGCTACTGTTGCTTTCAAATTTGATATTGCTTTTGTAATGAGTAAATGAAGACTGTTTGGGGAAAAAGTTAGCAAGTTTTTTTCTGGGATTTGGATCGGGTTTCGGAAGAATAAAGGGAAGAGAGGGGCCATGATAATCAACGGAAATAGAATAGTCGAGGTGGTCTTCATCTGGCAATGGAGCACCCTCCGGTAACATCTTCTTCAAAACTTCCTCCCAGGAATTCGATCCCATTTTCGGATCCTTCGTTACCGACAGAGTCACTGCATGTTTGGCATAAAGCTTAAAAAAGTCGCTTATCGTGATAAACTTTTTTTGCAGGTTGAAAATGAAAATAATTAATTATTTGTTTCAAACCTATGTTTGGAGTTAATTGTTTCAACGGTCACTGAACTTTACAAAATATCACGTTTCATCGACTGAACTTTAAGTTGCATCTCATCACTCATTGAACTTAGTAAAGTTGCACTCCATCCATCACGTGGGTAATTCCGTCAAGACCGATTTCCTACGTGGATGACAGTTTGCACACGTGACCGTTAAATTACTCAAGCTGGCCATTAATCAGCCATGTCATATATTTCAAACACCTAAACACATTTCACCCAATTTGATCTCATGCCTAAAGACGGCAAAGGCACGGCTACTGCATATATGACTGTGGATTTCGACGGCCAACGGAGACGTACCAAGACCTTTTTTAAGATTTCAACCCTCAAGGGGACGAGAAACTCGAATTCATGGTCCATGATGTCGAATCCATGATGTCAACTCCAACTCCAACTCCACCTGTGACGGAGGCGGCAGCCAAGAAGGCTGATTTTAGAGATCAAATTGGATGAGACGTGTTTGGGTGTTGAAAATTTATGACATGGCTGATTAATGGCCAGTTGGAGTAATTTAACGGCCATGTGTGAAATCGTCATCCACATAGGCAACTGATTTTGACGGAATTAGCCTAGTGATGGATGAAGTGCAATTTACTAAGTTTGGTGAGTGATGAAATGCAACTTAAAGTTCAGTTAGTGAAATGTGGCACTTTATAAAGTACAGTGACCGTTGAAACAATTAACTCGGCCAGCTAAATTAATTTAACGGCCACATGTACAAACCGTCATCCACATGAGCAATCGATTTTGACGGGATTAGCCTGGTGATGGATGGAGTGCAACTTTACTAAGTTCAGTAAGTGATGAGATGTAACTTAAAGTTCAGTTAGTGAAACATGACACTTTGTGCTTGTTTGGTAGAGATTTTTGGGAGAAAAAATTGATTTTTGAATAGTAATATGATGAGAAATGTGTGATTGAAAAAAAAAAGAAAAATTATTGATGTGATGGAAAATATTATTTTATTGAAGAATGTATGGTTGAAAATGAGAATTGATTTGAGAATCAATTCTCAAATAAAAGACAAACACCCCCATTTGTAAAGTTAAGTGACCGTTGAAACAATTAACTCCCTATGTTTGTCCCCATTTTTTAAAAAAACTCATTTTCAATCACATATTTTTTTATAAAATAATATTACAAGCAAATTCAAAAAAATTCCTTATTTTTTAACAACGCATTCTTCAACAAATACTATTTTGAAATGCATTTGATAAAAAAGGGGGGGCGTAAACAATTGCTAAATAAGTAATCTTGCATGTTTGAGAATAAAATATTTTTTTAAAAAATAAGTTTAAGTAACTTTCAAAATTAGTGCAAGAAGTTTGGCTAAAATAGAAGTATTTAAAAAAAATAAATTAAATAAGTTATTCAGTTTAACATAAAGGTGATAAAAAGTATATATAATAGATGTTTAAAATACGACTACGAATAAGGAAGTTTCCAAATAGAGTTATGCTAATTGGCCCGGTTCAAACCCTGGTTTCACCAGGGATTTAGTCCCGGGCTAAGCCACTTTATTGTTCCAACTGTTCCAACTTCCAAACACGTCTTCATGATATGCTTTTTTTTCTTCCTACTTTTAAATTAAAAAATATATATATTTCTCAAAGCCATTGTGTATTTACATATTTGAATATTACTCACTCATTCATATTTATTAATTTATAATTTAAATCGCTATAAGCATTTCCAAACATGCTTTAAAACTTACTCTTTTGAAATTTAAAAATATAACATAATTTCACAAAACTATTTTTTAAGTATAATCAAATATAAGAAGTAACCATATTTTATCATCCAAAGATTATAGTTTTATTGTGAGAAAAAATATCAAGCCTTAAAGTAAAATCTATTTAAAAAGAACTATAAATTACCTATAAGCTTAGCCAAACATATCCTTACTTAAATTGGAGTCACGACGTCATGGGCATGGAAAATAAGTGGTGCGTTTGGTAAGAAATGTGGAAAATAAGGGGTTAGGTTGTCCAACTATTGTGGAAGAAATTGGCGGTTGAATATAGATAAATCTCTTCTAGTCTACTTTTAAAAAATTATAAATATGTCTTTTATTTTAGACAACAAATTATCCCAATGTGGAGGGCTGAAATACCTTTATTAATTTGTGTTGGAAATTGAGATTAATTCTTCAATTTGTGTATGGATCGTTGTTCAAAGAATTCGGAGGAAAATAACATTACAAGATTTACGTAGAAAACTTTGAAATAGGGAAAACAAACATGGGCTATCGAAAAACAGAAATTTACACTATATTATATACTTATATTATCGTATAGAATCACACGCCCACAGCCCTCCAAATGCCTCAAAATATCGAACCAAGTGATACACTAAAAGATCCCGTGTCTCACCCCAAAAAATAGAGAATTATCATACTCCATCATAAAATAGTATGTACACTTTGAATTACCAAATTCTGAAATTTCATCGACTCATGTCGAAAAAACTTGCAAAAATGATTAATGCAACCCCTTGTTTGGCTTTCTCGAGAGTTCACTAGCTATCAACATAAATTTCACAATGCACTTAGCATCAACGTCAAATTGAGACTAAACCAAAACACGTGTTAACCTGCCACGTACGAAAAGGACTATATTCCGTTGTGAGCATGAGTGGTAACCTTCTAGGTCCACCATTATCTTCAACAAGTTGAGAGGCATCGAGGCCATCCAAGACAAGACCTAACAGGATTTGGTACGGGAACTAAGCATAAAGAAGCCAACTAGTCCATCAAGTATGAGGGCCAAGTTTCTTTATGTGCTCCTGTAGAAGGAATAAGGAGCATCAACTTTGATTAGAGGAGATGGACGACAACGATGAGTACACTTTCTTCGAGACGATCAAAGCATTTGGGGGGCCTAGCAAATTTCCAATGTGCAAAAATGTCGAAATTTGTGGAAGAGGCAATCCTGTCGACTACGCCCAAGAGTATAACACCCACCGGCGGACCTAGGGAGGGGCCTAGGGGGGTACGTGCCCCCCAACTTTGGTTTTTTTTTTTTTTCTATATTTTGTTTCAATTTTTGAAATTATTATAATACGTGAAACAAAATCGAAATATTGCATTCTTA